GGGAACATGTTCGAGTTTTTTATAATGGAAACTACATGGAAACCATCAGACGCTTTGATGCAAATCGATCGCAAATCGATCGTAACTAAATTGATCGCACAAAAACTGTTATAGCATCTGTGCGTTTCGATGTCGTTTTCACTAGGCCATCTGTCTTTGCTGATGTTTCTTTTGGTTTCTGTACTGGAAAAGTCAAATTCTTCCAGAATTTCTATTTATCCTGAGTGTTCGTTGCTTGGCGGTTTTGATGTTGGCAAGGCCAGGGTTTCAAGTGTGGACTTTGTAATGTGTCATTTTGATGTAGGATTTCGACGTTGTTTTGCGATCATTTTGCGATCCTTTGTCGATCGATTTGACATCGGCCTAAAAACGAATAAGAAGGCCATAAAACAACATCAATATGACATCGACAAGAACCTAAGGCCTGTAGAAAACGGCACTTGCCAATTCATATATTCATATGGTTTGGTGATCATAGAATCCAAAATGACATAAGTGAGTTCATTTCTCTTGGTGGTTTCGTCTTTTAATTAACTTAGTTTGCAATATTATATGTTAGGAACCTCCATCAAGTTGACACCGAGACAGACATAAAACTCCATCAAAATGACATCAAACAAAAATTCACATTTGAAACCTTGCCAAAATCGAAACCACCAAGCAGTGAACACTCAGGATAAATAGAAACTCTGGAAGAAATTGACTTTTCCAGTGCAGAAACAAAAAGGGACATCAACAAAGACAGATGACCTAGTGAAAACGACATCAAAATGCACAGATGCTATGACAGTTTTTGTGCGTTTTTTTTACGATCAGTTTACGATCGATTTACGATCGATTTGCGATCAATTTGCGTCAAAGCGTCTGATGGTTTCCACGTAGTGTCCACTAAAAAAAAAGTCTCTGTTCCCTGTATCTACACCTGGTGCTTGTATGGCGCTTCTTTGATGGAGTATCCATGCAGGTTTCATGGAGAATTGATGTAGGTTTCATGGAGGTTTCATGTAGGTTCCGTTGTTTCTTGTGTCTAACGTGATGGTTGCATGGCGCCTTCTAACTGATGCAGTTTTCATGGAGGTTCCATGCAGGTTCCATGGAGAATTGATGTAGATTTCATGCAGTTTCCATGTGCGTTATGGAGGTGATGCCTCTATCTACACTTGTTGGTTTTACCATGCACTCTGCCTGATGCAGGTTCCATGGAGGTTCCATGCAGATTCCATGCAGGTTCGAGGGAGTTGTCATGGAGGTTACACACCAGTAAGCTAAATCAGCAAACCCAGCATGTAACCAACATGAAACCTGCATGGAAACTGCATGGAAACCCCATGGAAACTCCATGATACCTGCATCAGTCAGAGTACTGTACAGGATAGGACCGCAATGGAATTTGTTTCAAGAGAAACTGTTTTTTTTTCTTTTCTTTGCTTTCATGTAGATTATTTAGATCGAATAGATAGGTAAGGTCACTTGGATAGAGTAGGCATATTAGATAGATCAGATAGAAAAGGTAGACTAGGTGGATTAGATAGATTAGATAGATTAATAGACAGACTTGAAAGATTAGAGAGGTTGGATTAGATTAGCTTAGATTAGATTAGATAAGATCAGAGAAGATTAGACTAGTTTGATAGACAAATAGACAAACAAATAAATAGATAATGTAGATATATGAGATTGATAGATTGATAGATTGATAGATAGATAGATATATAGAAAGACAAACAAATAGATATATTGGATATGATTATATTAGATAAGTAATAGATAGACAGGACAGACAAAAAAAACAAGATAGACAGAGATAATTAGCAAGATTAAATTAGATTAGATTAAGATTAAGATTTTTAGATTTAGATTTAGGATTTAGATTTAGGCTTTAGATTGAGGATTTCGATTTAGATTTAGGATAGAATTAGGGATTGTAAATTAGGATTTAGATTTAGGATTATTTAGGATTAGAATAGGGTTAGAAATTGGGATTTAGGATTTAGATTTAGGATTTAGATTTAGGATTTAGATTTAGGATTTAGAATTAGGATTTAGAATTAGGATTTAGAATTAGGATTTAGAATTAGGATTTAGAATTAGGATTTAGAATTAGGATTTAGAATTAGGATTTAGAATTAGGATTTAGAATTAGGATTTAGAATTAGGATTTAGAATTAGGATTTGGAATTAGGATTTAGAATTAGGATTTAGAATTAGGATTTAGCATTAGGATTTAGCATTAGGATTTAGCATTAGGATTTAGCATTAGGATTTAGCATTAGGATTTAGCATTAGGATTTAGAATTAGGATTTAGAATTAGGATTTAGAATTAGGATTTAGAATAAGGATTTAGAATTAGGATTTAGAATTAGGATTTAGCAGTAGGATTTAGCATTAGGATTTAGCATTAGGATTTAGCATTAGGATTTAGCATTAGGATTTAGCATTAGGATTTAGCATTAGGATTTAGCATTAGGATTTAGCATTAGGATTTAGCATTAGGATTTAGCATTAGGATTTAGAACTAGGATTTAGCATTAGGATTTAGAACTAGGATTTAGAATTAGGATTTAGAATTAGGATTTAGAATTAGGATTTAGAATTAGGATTTAGAATTAGGATTTAGAATTAGGATTTAGCATTAGGATTTAGCATTAGGATTTAGAATTAGGATTTAGAATTAGGATTTAGAATTAGGATTTAGAATTAGGATTTAGAATTAGGAATTAGGATTTAGAATTAGGATTTAGAATTAGGATTTAGAATTAGGATTTAGAATTAGGATTTAGAATTAGGATTTAGAATTAGGATTTAGAATTAGGATTTAGAATTAGGATTTAGAATTAGGATTTAGAATTAGGATTTAGAATTAGGATTTAAAATTAGGATTTAGAATTAGGATTTAGCATTAGGATTTAGCATTAGGATTTAGCATTAGGATTTAGCATTAGGATTTAGCATTAGGATTTAGCATTAGGATTTGGCATTAGGATTTAGCATTAGGATTTAGCATTAGGATTAGGGATTAGGATTTAGCATTAGGATTTAGCATTAGGATTTAGCATTAGGATTTAGCATTAGGATTTAGAATTAGGATTTAGAATTAGGATTTAGAATTAGGATTTAGAATTAGGATTTAGAATTAGGATTTAGAATTAGGATTTAGGATTAAGAATTAGGATTTAGAATTAGGATTTGGAATTAGGATTTAGAATTAGGATTTAGAATTAGGATTTAGAATTAGGATTTAGAATTAGGATTTAGAATCAGGATTTAGCATTAGGATTTAGCATTAGGATTTAGCATTAGGATTTAGCATTAGGATTTAGCATTAGGATTTAACATTAGGATTTAGCATTAGGATTTAGCATTAGGATTTAGCATTAGGATTTAGCATTAGGATTTAGCATTAGGATTTAGCATTAGGATTTAGCATTAGGATTTAGCATTAGGATTTAGCATTAGGATTTGGCATTAGGATTTAGCATTAGGATTAAGCATTAGGATTTAGCATTAGGATTTAGCATTAGGATTAAGCATTAGGATTAAGCATTAGGATTTACAATAAGGATTTAGCATTAGGATTTAGCATTAGGATTTAGCATTAGGATTTAGAATTAGGATTTAGAATTAGGATTTAGGATTAGGATTTAGGATTAGGATTTAGAATTAGGATTTAGAACTAGGATTTAGAACTAGGATTTAGAACTAGGATTTAGAATTAGGATTTAGGATTAGAATTAGGATTTAGAATTAGGGATTTAGAATTAGGATTTAGAATTAGGATTTAGAATTGGGGATTAGAATTAGGGATTAGGCGGGATTAGGATTAGGGATTAGAATTAGGGACTAGAATTACGGATTAGAATTAGGGATTAGAATTAGGGATTAGAATTTTAGGGATTAGGATTAGGGATTAGGATTAGGGATTAGGATTAGGGATTAGGATTAGGGATTAGGATTAGGGATTAGGGATTAGGATTAGGGATTAGAATTAGGGATTAGGATTAGGGATTAGGATTAGGTTACGATTAGGGATTAGGATTAGGTTAGGATTAGGGATTAGGATTAGGGATTAGGATTAGGGATTAGGATTAGGGATTAGGATTAGGGATTAGGATTAGGGATTAGGGATTAGGGATTAGAGATTAGGATTAGGGATTAGGATTAGGGATTGGGGATTAGGGATTAGGATTAGGGATTAGGATTAGGGATTAGGGATTAGGATTAGGGATTAGGATTAGGGATTAGGATTAGGGATTAGGGATTAGGATTTGGGATTAGGATTAGGGATTAGAATTAGGGATTGGGATTAGGATTAGGGATTGGGATTAGGATTAGGGATTAGGGATTAGGATTAGGGATTAGGATTAGGGATTAGGGATTAGGATTAGGGATTAGGATTAGGGATTAGGATTAGGGATTAGGATTAGGATTAGGATTAGGGATTAGGATTAGGGATTAGGATTAGGGATTAGGATTAGGGATTAGGATTAGGGATTAGGATTAGGGATTAGGGATTAGGATTAGGGATTAGGGATTAGGATTAGATTAGATTAGGATTAGATTTAGATTAGTTAAACAAAAAATAAAACAAATACAAAACACACAAAAAAAACACATTTTTCAAATCTATTTTGCACATAACTCTGATTTCCCAGACTTCCAAACCACCAACCCAAACCGCCATATAAGTATAACCTGACCTCAGGTGCCTTGAAATGAGTGTGCCAACCAAAAATATCAAAAAATGGCATCCGGGTTTTGAACCCGCGACTAAAGAATACCAAAGGTTGCTTGTTTGCCATGACCACTGTCACATCACTGCTTACATTGCGCGCCATGGTCTCCTTGATGGCATCCAATGAGCTCATCACCTCATCCATGTCTTTGCTCCACTGCGTCAGCGCAGCCTTGTAGGGACGTGGCATCTGGACCCTGTGGGGGACCTTCCAGGAACCATCAAGATCCCATGTTTGAAGACCCATCAGGGAGGACTCCATGGTGTTCAACCGATCCCGCATTCAGGGGCCTCAGCATCCTCTTTGGCTTTCTGTTTTGCCTGCAACTTCTCCTCAACAAGGCAATGACCAAAAATGGACCATTTTTATGTCATCTACAAACAGCTTGGAATGCCCCAAACTTTCAGGCCATAGACTTCGACAAAAGAGTGAACTCCAGGCTTGACGATGGCTGTAGCTCCAGACCGTCAACTCTACTCCGCTGAGCTCCCAGACATCGGCGGCTTCTAAGTGCTGCCTCGCTTCCGCCACCTCCAAGTTGTGGTCTCTCCATCACTAATGCCAAATGCCCAATCTTCACAGAGTCAACATACATGACCAGTTGTCATGTGGTATATGGATGTATATGGTAAACCCAATGATAAACTGTCCTCAAATGCATCAGAAATGGGTGGTATGAACCATCCACTCCAGTTTCAGTACCCACCTGAGCGGAGAAACCTTCGTCTTCCGCCTCCTCTTCCTGGTTTCCGTAGAGACACGCAAAGTCGCCTGGCTGCTTGGAATGGGGGCATCATGCCACATCAGCAACATCTTAGAAATGCTATTCTTGGTCATCTGTTTTTGCGAGGATCTTGGGCGTAAGCAAATGAAGAAATTAGGTTGAGGCAGGTTTAGGATAGCCAGATAGAGCTAGCATGTCCTCCAAAAAGTATCTCGCAGCCAATCTTTGCCAGTGGTGCTCAGCCCAATAGTGGGCTCAGAAAGCCAACCTTTCCCATCGTTGGCATCCTCTGTTGCAGCCAGCTGAACAGCTTCGTCCTGCGGAACTGAGCCATGGCAGCCATGAAGTCACCTGGTGAAATCTGGTGAGTCCAGCTGCATTTTGGCATTTGGGGATGGGTCAAAACCCTGGTACCTAGTGAACCCCAAAATAGCTGGTAAATGGATGTTTAGCATGAACTATCATGAACTCACTTTCTCCAAAACTTGGAGGATATGAGAAGCAAGCTCCAAGCGTCCGTCACCGACATCCACGGATCGTGTCGCACATCCAATTTCGCTGGCTCCTCACCATGTTTCTCTCGCAGTACTTCACGAGTCTCACCCTTGGCACAGCACAGTGTTGCAACGATTTGTCCCCAATCTTTGAATGGCACATGGGTTTGATTCCACTGGTTCCTCGCCATTTTCCCTCGCAACATGTGCAAAGATCATCGAAGATCCAGGTGGGGCCTTATTTCTTCCCAAATTTTCAGACGCCATGTGAAACTCCAGGCCCAACCCCAACCATCCAGCTGAGCCTTATTGGGATCGACCCATTCAAAGAGGGCGCGAATTTCTTTTGCCTGGCAAATTGGCACATCTTGATCTCCTCAAAACAAAAATGTTCCTCAGGTTCCACAGGTGTCCAACATCTTCCAACAAAAGTCACTCCTTTTGACCGTTTGACCCCTGGAGGGCTGTCGACTTAAAGTCCAGCGCCGTTGGCATTTGCACAACGGGATGCTATTTGTCCCAAGATTCGTCACATCCAACAGCTGCTGTGGCGACGTGCGCAAAGGCGCAATGAAAAATGTCCACGGGGGTCAAAGTGGGCGAGACGCATCACAAGCATAGCCGATCAAAAGATCCCAAAAATCTGAAGGCTGTGATTCACCAAGATCACTGTTCGTCCACTTTTGGACAGAAGGTCCTAAGGTCACCTCTCATGGTTTCAATTTGCGCTATCAAGCTGCAAGGGTTTGGTTCCCATCAGAGCATGCATTTTGCATCTTTGCATCTTCTTGGAAGTCTCTCGCGTTGGGCGTACTTGTAGATCTACCATTCTTTCACGGCTTGATCGGGGTTGGTGGGGTCACCAAGGTGGCATCATTCAGTAAAAAAACACCCGGGCAACGAATCTGCGGTCAAGAGATGGGTGCCAAATTGTTGCTGTGCGCGACTGAGACATGGCTGAACCGGAGTGTGAAACCAGTGTGTGAGTCCTTCAAATATCGAACATCTCCAGCATTTCGGGAAGTTTTAGGATTGATCGGATGCTAGTTCTTTCCCACTCCGGTACCAGAATGCCTCAGCATGGATACAGTATTCCAGATGTCTCTTTGCAAATCTCGTGTCTATTTCCACAAGCCATTGGGGTCACTGGGCAGGACCACTATTCTGTGGCCACATCATAGGCACCGGCATCCAATTCGCCTGGTTCGCTTCCATGAAGACCTAGGCAGCAAGGACCAGACCACTGAAACAACATCGCTGCATGGACTGAGGCATCCGGCTCCTGCAGTCCCAGCCAGTCCTGTCGTCATTTTCTAAAGATCAGTATGGGGGTAAACCATGGTAAACAATGGTAAACCTCTGCTCCATCCAAATCTGATTACGATTGAATTTGGTGGGACCAGCTTCAAGGCAAATCCACCTTTTCAGTACTCCAAGCCACATCTTGCAGCGTCCTCCAAAAGCAATTGGAGGAGGATCGTTGCCGCCTTTCCCTTGGCAAGCCTCATCCAACCGAGGAATCCGCATGATTTGGGTTTGAACACTCCTTGATTTGTAGCAACTGCGTAACCGTGTCAGGACGAATTTCTAGGGAGGTGCACAAAGCTGTATCAAAAGACCAGCACTAGCTAGACATTGCCAGTTGCACGCCGGAAGTCTCCTGCCTTTGGAACGAATAGAGGAAGCCCTCCATACATTTGTGTAAAACGCCTCAAATTCGCTGGTTTCCAGTGGCTGAGGCTTGCTGACTGACTGCAAGTGGTGTTACGTACACAGAGAATCTAAAGCATCGGAATATACACAAAAAAACAAAAAAAAAACATGAGTGAAGCAGTGAAGCCCTATCCTGCTCCAGTACGAAGTGCGTTGGCCCTACTGGCCTTCATAGACCAAGACTGACGCTTTTGACAGGTAGCCCAGTGCCCAGTACCAAACATCCCATAGCCAAGACACGGCATGTGCATCACAGGCATTGGCATCATCTGCGGCATCATGGCTGGCTGGGCGCCAGCTGGAACCGCTACCTTCATGGTCCTAGGCTCTGGGGAGGACCCCCAGCTTGGTTCGGGAGGGGCCCCAACAGATTTTAAAGGCGATCGAAAAAAAATGAAGAATCCATGATTGTAAAGAGGGATCCTGGGATCGATCATTTGCTGGGGATTGAAATTGCTATTGCCAAGAGTCATCTCCGAGATTGATGGTGATGTGTTTTTTGTTGTTGTTGCTTCATCAGTGATATGAGAATATGTGAAACTATGGACTTTCCCATCTATGGTCAGCATGGGACATTGTATGGTGAGTGTACAGTTTGATCTATGATCTGGTCGTTTGGAGTCTGAATGCACAAGCTGATGAAGCACTGAGGGGTCAGGGGTCTACCATTCTGCCGTTATGTCGTGACCGTATCTCCGTAAGTCCCAAAATCGTGACATCGAACCGAAACTGCTGCGAAACCAAAGCGATGTTGGCCGAGCTGCTCTTGATTCTGCTCGCAAGGCGCAGGCCCTGACCGGACAGCGCAGTTTGCAAATTCACAGAACTCTGAACTCTGCAAACGTCAAGAATTACATTGGCGTAGGGGTCAGAAATGGACTCCTGGGTTTTGAATGTGTGACATCCGCCTGCTTCCTTTACGATGCTGGTTCGGGGGTAAACCACACACAATTCCTCCCTCTTGTCAGCCACGAAAGACTTACGATCACCAAAACCGATCGACCCTCTCGGAGAAAATTCTACAGTCAGCCCTCTCAAACCTTGCTTATGTCCATAGGCGAAGAATGAAAAGCACTCAATAAAACCCATATTATACACTGTAGTCACAATATTTGGTCTTGTCCAAAAATAGTAAATGCCCCAAATGGCAATTTCTAACCAGAGAAATGATGCTTAACCACCGGGTTTATATGTGTATATGTATATATATACAATCTATACAATATATACGATCTATATACGATATATACAATCTATACAAGATATATGTATGTGTATATATATATATACATATGTGCAAATATCATATATATATATATATATTGAATACACATATATATATATATACACATTTATATATATATATGAATACATATGAATATATATATATAGATAGATAGATAAGATAGATAGATAGATAGATATATATATATATGAATAGATATCAATATATATATATATATGAATAGATATCAATATATATATATATATGTATACATATGTAGATGTGTATATATTATATATTATATATATAGGGTCAAAAAATCCTACAGTTGGACATCCCACCCGGCATCCGGCAGAGATTACCCAGGCCTGCCGCAGGTTTCGGTACAGCAGCTGGCGGCTCCTGCAAATCACAAAAAAACACAGCCGTACACATCAACAGTGGCTTTCAATGCTCTGTGTGTATATCGTATATACTGGGTATGTATATATATATATTGTGTAGTTTATATCATATGTTATATATTGTATTACTTATATTATATTATATCATATTATATTATATTATATTATATTATATTTTATCATATCATAATATATATATATATTATGTATTAATACAATTCAAAATCTCAAACCCCAATCGATCATGTGTGTTGGTGCACCTATGAGTCAGGCCCTTGTGACCCAGCTGGCCTCACTCTGACGCCGGCCCCTAGCCTTGCCAAAGGTCAAGCTACCGACATGGACAAAGAGTCAATTTGATACATAATATATATATATATGTATGTGTATATATTTATTGGGAATGGAATACGTGGGATTTCATGAGTTAAGGACATGTCAGCTTTTTAGTAAGTGTCAATCAAAGTGCACTGTAAATTTTGATGATTTCACCATATTTCACCCATGAAATTCTCAGTTCAATTGATGGAATCATCTCATGTTTGCTTTGATCCGGCTCCGACATGGCCAACTTGGGACGTCCTGGCCTTTCCTTTGCCCGGCTGTGGCCTAAGCGGCGCATCATGGCCATTCCATGATTTTCCAGCTATCGATCACTGGACCGAGCCTACATGTCCAAAAAACATTGACATGAACGCCTTCACCTCTGCATAATGTTGCCATACAACATACCAAGCCACTACCGTGCTCACAAGATTTTGTAGGGTGCACTCTGAAGGAGAACCCTGATCACGCTGTTCAACCAGTCCAAACTACAAGCATCCTATTACCCATCTTGCACTGACCACAACTGACCTAGCTTGAGAATTTGAAAGAATATCTCAAGTAGGCTGGGCCGTTTCGAAGGTTACTTGTTCATGCGAAGATGCCTATTGTCTTCAGAAAAGTTATGTACGAATGCGAGCCTGTCAAGGTCTCCCTGCTGTGGTTGCTGCGGCTGTTGCGGCTGCGACTTCTCAAAGTCCTTCCGCGATCCTGTCACAGTACGCTGCGCTTCTTAGCTGAAAAACGGTGCAAGGATAGAAACGCAGAATCTTGCTGCAACGAGAAGAACAGATCGAAATCAAACCAATAACTCATATCTTACCATGTATATATATATATATGTATATATATATATAAATATATATATGTACTGTGTATATGTATTATCTATTTAAATTTTATTTACTTATTTACTCATCTATTTATTTATGCACTTCCATCCGTTCCAAGCTGCCACGGTCCAGTGTTCAATGGCACCTCGCTTGCGGTTGTTCCGGCCGCCCCGCCGCCGCGACTTGCCCAGGAGGACTGGCTCCTTGCAAAAGGGTTCTCCAAAAAGTGTTGAGAACTTAAAAGGCTGCAAGGAATGTTACAATCATCAGAGAATTGACACGGGCGACAAACGGGTTGCTACGTGAAGTTGTCACGCTGCTCCTGACCCTCAGGAGCATCATCATCGTCGTCCTCCTGGTAGCGCACGGGAAGTCGACTCTACCGATGTTGTAAACGTGATAGCTATTTTTAATAAACCGGCCTTTACAACCCATTTATGGCAATATTGGGGATGGTTTCCTAGTAGATTAAAACGCATAAATGGCTATTGGTAAGATAAATCATGTTGCGGGCAAGTGTCTGACACTTGAGGCTAAAACCAAAGGTATTTTAGGCGAAAATTGAGCATGTCCTCGATGTTCATCTCTGCTTCTATCTACAATCTATATGGTGGTTTCCTGAAATAGGGGTACCCCCAAATCATCCATTTTAATGGGATTTTCCAATATAAACCATCCAGCTATTGGGGTACCCCCATTTATTGAAACTCCTATATCTAGATTCGAGAAATTTCCGAACGTCAATCGGCCGCAGGACGAAAACGAACCCGCTCCTCTTCAGTCCGACTCACTAAACCCGCCTGGCCACAACTTGAGAGAGTTGATCCCTAGTTCCCTTCATGACCAATGGTTAATAATAATGATGGTTAATAATGATGGTTAATAATAATGGTTATTGACCAACAACCACCTTCCAATTCTGAGAACCTGCCAATCCTCCAACCCAACCGCTCCCAACCAATCCAGCCATAGCCTGTTGTGGGCGCGCTACTGGTTTTGCCTAGCAGCATGCGTGAAGGCCACTCTCTAAGCGATGTGACAGTGGCGCTTTTACCACGACAATCCTAAGCCAATCTATGTCCACATTGACTGTTCATAAGCATGGCAGATTCATCCTCGAACTGGCAATCAAACAGGTCTGGCAAGGCCGTGTTTCTGGCTGATGCAAATCATGCTGGGATCCCGTATCTGTGGTCCAGACTAGACTTGTTGCACTTTACGTCACCACAAGTCATACACCCTGAATGTTTGTCAAGGTCCATTGCAGGTCTGAAAGCATGCCCTCAAGGTCAACAAATCGCCCTTTTGGTGGACAGTGGAAGGGATGATCCATGATAGACTCCATCTATGTTCTTACTTGAGAGCATGGCGGACCTCATTTCGCCCACTGTCAAACGTTTCTTTTTCGCATCGCAACAAGTGCTCTGCAATGAAAAAAGATCTGCCTGCATGTTGAGCAAGCTCCATTTGAAGGATGAATATTTGTTGTGGGCTGCAAACCCAAAGCAAAAATATGTCATCTGAATGTAACAAAATGTCGGGATATGTTACCTCCAGGTCGGACATCCATCCTCTCCCCGATCAATGCACAAATGGCCAGGGATGAAAACTTCTAGCGCCACTGCAAGCTGGGCTTTGGCAGGCTTCAAACGTTGAGGATCTCTCCAGCTTTGCGGGGGCCAATGGCGGTTACTGAGCAAACTTTGATCTTTCAAATTTAAAACCCAATTTGGGTCGAAAATCTTCCAACATAACCAAAACATCACTGGTTTTCGTCTGGGAAACCCTTCGCAAACCATCTGCGGCCAAGGTAGGGTCCAGCACAGGCCAGACCCTGGAGCCAGGCAGCAGAAACCCGATGAAAAGTCTGGTGAAGTGGCAGTCCCTTTTCCCCCCGGCCCTCTGATATTAGACTAATATATGATTTGATACTGGTATGATAATATACAGGAACATTACGTGCCCCCTGAAAATCTTGGTTTAGTCTTGTACTGTCTTGAATCTATTCATGTTTGGTTCCCTGATTGTGGGTGTATTGCTAGGAGGATGAGGATGGGGTGATAAACAATTCCAGTTGCTGAATGGGCTCGTTTGAAAACAAGGTACCGCATCCCAAATCTACTGGGTTGATCATGGCAGGTTTCTGCATGGCTGGCTGCCCGCTTCAAAGGGTTCAGATTCGAGCAGGAAATAAAGATATAGAGACATCTGAACCATTTTTGTTGACAGTAGATGTTTCTTGCAAAAAATGGAATTGGAATGGGAGAATGGGAAATCCTGGAATGCAATGAACAAGTTGCAACCTTGTATGATTTAAAAATCAATACACTTAAGCTGACAGGTTCCATGACCATCTACATAGCACCGTCATGGCACCGCGGTGACGTGGTGCTGTCTTCCACGGGTAGGTGGAGCGCCAGGCTTGGGCTCGGCATGGGCCACCTGCGATTTGAATGGAGTAAGCGGTGGATTCAGGGATACCATATTTTCAGACATACAACCTATCTTTCAGGAAATTAAACTTGTCAGATGGTGTCAGTGACAACACCAGTAGCAAGCGGCGAGAGACGCCTTTAAATGGGACTGCTGTATGTGTCATGAGACATAATCCACGACCGTTTCGTGAAAAGCCGTGGGGCACCTCTGAGTAAAGCTTCCAATTATCCCACACCAATTCCATGGCACCACTGCTGCGGTGCCCTCCTCGCAGCTTTTGGAGATTTGCATGACTCTTTCAGGTCCAACAAGTCCAACGAATCCAAAATTGACACATAGATTGGCAAAGCTGAGGACAAACCCACTATCTTACTTCGCTAATCTTCACTATATCTATATAGATTATATAGTGTTCTCCTCTTGAAGAATGCTGCAACAGCACGACCCGTTATTTTGAGGATTACCAAAGTGTTGTCTGCATCAGCCTTGGTCTCAGATTGCTCATGGAATCTCAGGGGTGTGGCGCAAAATTGTTGAGGGGCCACCATCTTTGATATCTTTGGCTCCTGGAACTTTGTTCACATCCGCAAACTTCTTCAAAATGGGCTGCAAGGCCGGATATTTGGACCGTGGCATCGATGGGAACAAATGATGTTCCAATTGATATTGCCTAGGACAATTCCGGGCCACTGGAGCCCTGTGGCCAACCGCTTACGGCCCGTTACGGCTTTACAGTACTCCCTGCGGCCCAGTTGCATCCCTCCCCAGAGCCACTTGCTAAAGGGGTTTCTCACAGAGGCATCGCGAGTGCTTCGGAATTGGTTGTCTACGAAGTCAGGGTTGAAGTTCTCAAACCTTGAAGGTTAAAAATCAGTCATGGCAAATCTTGAGTTGATGTCAGCTGAGCTTGTGTGGCAGAAATATACGGAAATGGAGCTCAATGGTTCAACTCAACCACTCAAAATACTGGAATTCCTGTCGATGGTTCTTCAAAGTGGGCCAAGTGACATCTCTTCTGACTGGTGCGTGGCAGTGGTGATGATGGCCGTGATGAGGCCCGAGAGTAAGATATAAATTGGGATGATATGCCAAGGGATCAATGCAAAAACCTCAGATTAATGCGTTGAAGGGCATGCTCGATCCACCCAACAAGAAACCTCAAGCTGAAACCGGAAACCTGGAAATCCAGACATTTCGAACAACTACAGTAACTACCACCCGGCTATGGCGATGTCGAGTCGCCAAGGTCCAATGGATGGCCAGGAGGACAGCCTCTGTGATCGCCCCTTTCCGCGGTTTTTTCTTTCTCCTCGCTGAAACATGCTGAAACCATTCTGAAAGCATCAAATCAGGGCGAAGAATTCTTTAAAAAGTCCTGCGAAGGCGAAGTGAAGTGAAATCAAAAACAAAATCAAGTATATAAATAGAAATGAACCAGCCATCCGATCAAGCACTGCGCGATCAAGCAATATGTCCATATTTTGCAGCTGAAGTTCAACTCATTCCATAGAACTTTGATGGAATCAGTGCGCCAAACAATGAACCTCAGGAGTCCGGGGACAGGGAGTCTATGCAATTCTGTCACACTTGACAAACACGGCTGTAGATACAATGTATGTTAGTGACAGAAATAAGAAAGTCTTTTCTAGCTCACACGGTTCATACACCGAACACATCCACGAAGATATTTTGTTTGAAGCGCACAAAATATGTAACACACCAAGTGGTTCCTGGTCCTCAACGGCATGTTTCCCTGTAACATGTTGAGATTGGAGAGAGTGTGCCAAGTCGCAGCATCGAAAACGATAAGGGAACTGTGAGATGCTGGATGCGCCTGGACCACGCGACTGGACAGCAGCACGAGCATGCGCAAAAAGGGAAAGCAAAATTACCAAGTTTCAAGAGTTTCACTTGAGTTGCAAAGGTGAAAATGACAGAAAAGTGTCTAATTCAAAACTCGATTTCTCAAACCCTACAATAACAATTAGGGTGGTCACTCAACCTCACAGTGTGGCTTCGGGAAACTCATTTGTCCATCTTTCCACCCCGAGCCCGACCTGTGCCACGAATCATTCTTTGGATCGGGCGCGCGCACGAAGAGCACAGGGTCTGTGGCGATGTCCTCATCAACGCCGATTTCGTTCGTCATGGCGTGGTGCCTCAGGTTTCAATGGCCCCTCGGAGACTTTTCGCACCGTTTTCGGTTTCAAATGTTTCAAGATGAGCCGTGGATCAAATTTGGATCCAATTTGGTTCGTTCTTGCAAGTTTGGGTTTGCCATTTTTCCAGAGCTTGCATGCGAGAGGCTTGTTATGCTTGTCAGACCACCAGAGTGGAGACATGCCTGCACAGAGTGGTCCCATAAACCGCATCCTGTCCGCAAAGCTATCCACGCCGTGGATGTAATCGTGAGCCAACCATCCTGCCTGACAGCTGAAGCTGGCAGGGACTGTATGGCATCGCCTTTCTACAGTCGCGTGGGTTGGAATCTGTGCTGCCAGTAATACAAAACTGCCAGGATCTGACAATTCCACTGGTGATCCACCAAGATCAAGGGGTTGAGCCATCTGATGGAAAAGTCATTGATCACCATTTATCACCATTTTTTAGATTCTGATCATTTTCCCTCAGTGCAGCCATGGCCAGGGCGCAAGGCGCTTCGCGCCTGGGTATTGGCGAGGGCCAACAACACAACTCCCGCCACAGATGGCCAGCCACCACTACGTGCACAAGCCACGCCCAGTCCCGTGACGAAGGCCCAAATCAGCCACTGGCGAGCCTGTCAAGTCTGTCCCAAGTCATCAATTTGTTGAAGAAAAGCCAACACCACCATCAGTGCCACCACCATCACAGTCATGAACAAGAAGAAGGAGAACAAGCACAAGAACAAGAAAGGCTCGGATGAGAAAGGATCAGAAAGGCAGAATGAATCTCAGAGCATCACTCGTGCCTCAAGAGCCAAGTCTCGCTGCCACCAACCCTCGTCTTCCAGCTTCTTCCTGGCGCTCCATTCTGAAGGTCATCTGATGTCAGGTTGCATTCATCTTTGCATTCTGGTCCTGCCATCATGGCATGTTTCTCAACTCACTGAATCTCCTGAGCTTTCGAAAGCTTCGGGTCAAAGGCGTCACAGGCGAGCACTGGGCCTGGTGTCAGACGCAAACAGAGGAAACCTATATTTGAATATTGGTAAAAATATTGTGTCACTATATCCATATCAAGTTCTTAATACATACAACATAGATAGATGAATGTTTTTGGTGGTAGCGCAGCCCCAAAAATGGGATTCTCCTCACCTCCAACTCATTGGGATTCTTTGAGCGAGGCATACGCTTCATCATCTCTCGTCCTGGAGGTCGTTTCATCCCACTGGATCCCCCAGCAGGAAACCACCATGGCCGCATGGCCGCATGGCCGCATGGCCGCATGGATCCCCCGCCTTTGGCGCTGTGAAAGGCATGCATCACCTCTGTGGCGTCACGGCCATCATAGTAGTCGATCCTCGGGTGAATGCAAAGATGGATGAGATATGATGAGATGCATGTCTCTTGAGATATAACATGATATAACTGAAGACTGCCCTTATTTTAGACCCCAAATAGCGAACTTTCTCTTTATTGAAAAGGCTTCTTTCTTATCTTTGGCGTGACCTGGTGGTGGCACGCACTCACGGCTTTCCCCCTAATTTTCTTTGCGCTTCAACTTGTTCATCAGTTAACCTATAAAAACAAGAAGTCAAACCGAACAAGGGGATTGCTCTTCAGAGTTGGAAAGCATGCAGGCCGCTGAATACCATAAATTGGCAAAGCTCCTGTGGTTTTGACTACCGCACAACTACAAACAGGGAACTCCGGGTGCTGGTTCCCAAGTCTTTCCCTTGACCAAACCTCACAGAAGTGTGGGTGGAAAAGGATGCAAAAGTGCGGCTGTGCCAAGCAGTTGTGTGTGTTCTCCAACAGGTCAGGAAAAAAGATCCGCAAAAATGGATCAACGGCTTTAGAATGTTTTAGATTGACCACAAATGGGTCGAAGTAAGGTCCCCAGGGCTCTTTGCTCCAAATTTTCACCGAGCCTCCAATGCTTTCCTGCGGGATGAGCCTTTCGCCATCCGGACAAATCGTACCACATGTCATCCATGCGGACGTCCAAGCTATTCCGACAGCCTCGGAGAGCACTGGTTGGTTAGGTATGCCGGCTGACAACCCCTTAATGATGAACAACAATGGCAGAATGGTATCTTTTATGGCTCAATAGACTATCTTGACTGCACTCCATTAGGTTTCCAAAAGGTTGAATCGACAAATATAACACACTCAAATATACCTCATACCATAACATTGGGTCAACACACCAAATGTAAAGGTGCATAATATACGTTGGGTTGGAGAGTTGAATCCCATTGCACAAATCCAGCCTGCAGGTGGACACTCTTCCACCACGCATTCACCATCTTCCTACCGGCAATGCAGAATGCAAGTCACACTCCAGGCATTTCCAGGCTGTAACGGCTGTAACTAAACAACCTTCCTATGGTCACATGCCACTCATCTGATGCTGACCCGCCTGGCAGTTGTACTGCGAGCCTTCAGGCGCCGGTTCCTGACATCAGTGCCCCACATGTCATGACGGATTGGAGGTATGTAATCGGTCCAAGAATCTTCTTATCATCATGATTGTGCTTATTTCCAAATTATATACCATCATTGCTGATATCTATTCAAAGAATATTAGTGAAGTTTCTTGGAACATTTGGAACAGGATCAGCACGAAAATCTGCATCCTCCGTTGCTCCCCCCCACCCGATCCACCCGTTCCCCATGCCGCGCCTTGGCTGACGGAGGGCCTTGATATCGCCTCACAAAGGCGCTACGCCGCGGCACTCCTGGCAGTTCAGAATCCGCCTGGGAAAAGATCTTGGGTAAACCACCACTTAATTCGTCCAATCGGGAAATGTGAAAATTTACCAAGTGTTGAAAAAGGATGGTAAATCTTAGGGGAAAGAAAACTGAAAAATGTGTGTGTGTGTGTATGTATATATATATAACCTGAATATTCCACAGTTATATTATTCTGTTGTTTAGAGTTTAGAATCTTTCGAAGAGAAGACACTCATCATGCAAGTGTGGCCACTGGAAGCAGGATTACCACGGTCGTTGATTTGGTATAGGCCACGGGCAACAGCAAATGACGATTCTCCACCTGACACCTTTCAATGCATCCTCAGGATTGGTAGAACAATGGCCCAAAATGGTGAGGGTTCATGTGGTCTCACCAAAGTCAAGTTGAAAAAAAATAACACAAGAAAATCAAGTTACCTCATGCCTGAAAGAAAACAAGAGGGCCCGAGTCCCTCGAGCCTTGCCATAGGAAGGTTGGAGCAAGAATCACCTTGGCCAGGTGAAGAGCTTGGAATGGATTGCTGAGTACACAAAGACAGAAATGGATTTCTTGAGATCTGAATTCAATAGGACATGGCACTTGGACATTCCTTTAGAAGTCACAAATCAATCCAGTCAAAGGTGGCAGGTGATAATCCATCAGTGGTCTCTTTGCTGCCATTGCCATCAGTGGTTGGTTCTCAACCCAGCGGCTGTCCCAAGAATCGCCAGCACTCTGCAAGAGGTGACCAAGCTCACTTGCCGCAAGCGAATCATTGCGGGCTTCAATTGCGGCAAAAGCACCAACTAAGGATGTTGATGTACCAGAAACTTTCTGTTTCACCCTGGAGTTCTTGAAGACAGTCTGGAAGCCAATCGATGAATCACCAGATTCTCCCAAGTATGCTGCTTATGGTGTCTCTTCCGTGCAAAACAACAGATCTCAGCAAGATCTCCAAATTTTCGAAAAGAACACCCTGTTTGGTCAATGGTGAGTTTTACCATGCCTTTTGTCCTTTTGTTTTCTCCAAAACAGCTGCACCGTGGCCATGGCACCACTGGCACCGCCCAACCGATGGCACCCCAGGTCACAGCCACCTTGACTGAGGGCTCCGTGGGTGTCGACTCGGCGAGGCGATGGGGTCCAAAATGTCCAGGGAAATCCTGGATCCCAGTATGTGTATATATGTATATATATAATATATTATATATATATGTATAATTATGTATATGTATATGTATATAGATATAGATATAGATATTAGACATATGTCTGCATATTGGTGATAATTCTTGTGTATATATTAGATCATAATTGATCCCATAATGATGTGTATATAGTATATAGATATTATTAGATCATAAATGTGCCCGTATACAATTAATCAGTTGACTGCATGTCTCTGTGTACACGTTCATCAATGTTTTATACAGAATCGTATGACTGTATGACAAAAAAATATGGAAGTGCTCAACAATATCCGTTGCACATGAATCACTACGTACATTGTCTCGAAGTGCCAGCATTGAAATACTACAGAAGTCACAGAGAGCCCCTTTTAAATACCTCAGAAAGGGAAGGGCAATAGCTGCCAGGAATTATTCAAGAGCGTATATGGGAAAACGCAGCCATGGATTGAGCCTCCATCACTCAACGCTCCCTACTTCCATCACTTCCACCAGCATCAGCCAACACTTCTGGGCTGCCCTTGCCAAACGAGATGCCACAGCCTGGGAAGCTCTGGTGTCACCAGGATTCCGGGTCAAAGAAAACTTGTGCACCTTTTGGGAAACTCGGCAATGTTCAACGCCAACACACAATTTCGCACAATGTGAAAGTCTAATTCTAGATGTAATGTAACCAGATGCAACCGTGCTGTAACCCGATTCTAGCGCGCCACAATTTTGCCACTGGTTAGGGCCAAGTCGCCCCTGCCGCGCTCATTGGCTTGGCATAGACATCAATCTTCCCGGGCTTGGAATAGCCGAAGACATCGTCCACCTCAGCCGAGGTTGTGGCAAGATCTCCGTCTCCAGCTGCCACTTACAAACATCCCATTCGCTGCCAAGCCCGCGGCTGCAACATTGCGATTCTGGATGCAAGAAAGCACCGCTAAGCTTTCCGGCCTCAGCTTTCCCGCTTCCAACCCTTCAAATGCAACAACACAAAGAAAATCTCTTATGACAGAATCGACGAGGTTTCTTAGATTTTCTTAGCACGTAGTAGCCTCATTTTTGAAGGGCCCATGTCCATCCGTGTCCCTTGAAGGCTCCATTTCCATCCATTTCCGCTGGGCACCCTGGCCCGAGCTGCGAGATCGGCACGGCCAAGTCCCCACTTTCGGCCTGACAGGTGACGACAGGTGACATGGCGTGGGGAATTTAAAAACATCAGCAGTTGCGGCCGTGCGGCCGCCAAACAACCACTGAGAAACAGAAATCCGAAGTGGAAATGCCATGAAATTGGTGGTGAAATGCCACTTCCAAGCTCACCACCACAGTTTCTGCGATCAATCGCTGCATCTGCACTGCAGTCACCAAAACCTGGCTGAACTCAGCCTGTACCCCCATTCAAATCTTACAGCAGTCCATGAATCCAAAGTACTTCCACTGTGACATCCTGAAGAAGTATCAATCAATTCTTAGATCCTAGTACTATGTATGTACTATGTTGGATTCTTGCATGAGTTGCGGTGCCTACCATAACATGATTGCATGTGATTCTTCGCAGCACAGTTGTTCAGGGGCTGCGGTGAGACACTCTCTGTACCCAGGTCCCTGCTGGAAACATCTACGGTACATTGCCCTTAAATATCACCATTCTGTTTTCTTGGCTATATCATCTATATCACGTGTTTTTGCTAGAACATGTTCAATCATGTTCAATCCCAATTTTTGTTGTATAAATGCGTCCTTCATTCTCGCGGGCATCACCCCGAACATCCCATCTGGGCTCCAGTGCGTGCTGCATGGAGGGCCTGAGCTACAGGAAAGATATGGACTTCATGGGGATCATCATCATCACCACCACCACCATCATCATCATTATCATCATCATGTTTGGAGGGGGACACAGTAGAAGTAAACAACATAAGTGATTGAGAGGGTCTGAGACAGCATCAAATTTAGATCCGCTTTCATGTCTTGCAGGGTTCCATCTCCACCCAAACCTGCTGTGCAAATTGCTAAGGTGTCGGCATGAAAAGCTCGTGGTGCACCTGTGGCACTGGCAAGTATCAAATGGCACGGTGCGAAGTTTTGTGTTCAAACACGGGATTCTTCTAAGAACCCTTTGTTTGCATGTGGAACCCATCGGCTGACCCAGCCGGACATCATTACCTGTGCGCTTTGGGCCTTGTAATCTTGAACTTTTCGCGTTCGGAACTCCGGTGGGATCTTCTTGTCAAACCTCAGGTCATGAAGCTTTGCAGCTACATCGTCCACATCTTCTGCAAAGTCTAGCCACATATTGGATGGAGGCCCAGCGGGGTGCACGAAAGCTAAGTCGGGAAACATCATGGGATCGTGGTATGCTCAGTACTGAATTTAGATCCCAACCAAAATGGAGAAAAAAACATGACTTTCTGTCGATTCTTATGCAAAGTGCCTTGTCTTTGAATGATCTGTGTGCTCACCTGCCTTGAAGACCCATAACCATCTGCTTCTAAAACTGTTCCAAAATGCTCCGGGAGCTTGGATGGCTTCGCGCGAAAAATCACTGTGTTGGACTCAGAGCTGCCCTTGCTGAAGCAGGAGTAAACTCCAGCTAGCTACGGCTAGTTTTCATCAAAAACTTGAGCTGAGGAAAAAAAACTGGAGACGAGGTACATTTGTCTCAGTCAACGCTGGTGCATCCTAGTGGCTTCTTTAAGATCTTGCGCACCGCAGTGAGGTTGACCTGTCGATGACTGTCAATTCACGTGGTAGATCCATAGGCACCCCGCCACGAAATCTGGATGTTCGAGCCCAAAGATCACATTCCGCAGCTCCATCAGAGATCAGTTTTGAAGCCCAGTCCCACTTGTGCCACGTGTGCCACGTGTGCCACGTCGCCTCAACGTATTGCAGCAATGAATTCAAAAGCCGGGCGACCTCACTGTACCTGCAGAACTGCAGTGAAGCCACCGTCACACCTCTCTGATTCTCCCAAAAACTCAAAATAAGGTGGTGTCATAGTGAAAATGACAAGGGTTCTACTATTGATACAGTTTCTACCATTATATACCTCATGTTCGAACATGTTTCAGCCATCTCTTTGACTTAACAGCTTTTGCACGGTGCTTTTTACTGAAACCGCCCATCGCTCGCATCTTGAAATCCGGCGGGGGCCGAGAGATGACGAGATGATGCCCATCTCCACGGCAGATACTTTCGTTGCTGCGAAAGGTCCACATATTGGGAATGAAAAAAAAACGTTCACACTTTATAAAGAGATCTCCAAAACGTTCACCATCAATTCTGAATTAGCCACTTTTCAACTTTGCCCTTTCGTTCGCCGTGCAGCATCGCAGGTACCACTGCTACAGGCCACTGTATGGGCCCGTTGTGGATCCAACATATCCCAACTCCTTCTGTGGAGACTCTGAACGGGACTTGTTCAAACTGTTCACCATTCCATCCATTTTGTGATGGCGGCCTATATCTTCACTTCCTGAAACACACCAGGTTGTACTGTCGTACTATGTCGTATTGCTTGTTGTATCTTGTTATGCTTTGAAAAGCCGAAGATCCCCCATTCAGAACCCCGGAACGGCCGCTGCGGCGCGTGGCCACGGCTTTTGGCTGAGCTCAACCGCACAGGTGGTAATTCCTCAGCCACGACGGCGCTTGCCAACCGCAACAGCTGGCCAATAGAACAGATTCGCATCCGCGACGCAAGGCTTTAAAAATGCACAGACGCAGTCCACTCTCCGGTTGAAAAGCTCCCCACAATCCTTGCCAAAGACCAAGTAAATGGTTGAATTGTTGAACTCCGCAAAGCAATCTATGAGTCTCTAATCTTGGCTCTTGGGATCCCCAAAACTAGGATGGAACCTCTACTGCATAGACTGTAGATGGAAAAATATAGCTTATATCAGAAGCTACAGGGACAACACGGTCTTAGCATGCTCCTTGTCAAGTCTTGGCTGGCGAGGGGAAGGGTCTGCGTGGCAGGTCTGCACTTGCTTTCGAGCTGGGCAACGGCAGTCAATGACTGCTAAGCCCGGTAGGACGGTCTCCATTATTTAAGCCTTGAGGCCGCTAAGCCTGGCCATGGAGGCCGATGTGCGATGTCACTGGGTCTTAGTCACTGAGTGTGTTTTGCTCAGTCGTCAAAACACGTGATTCCCTTGATCTGATCACATTCAGGTCTGGTTCGCATTGGAGACCATGCACATGCAAAGCCATACGCAATTGAAACATAACTGTCACACGTTTGCGACAGCCATCACGCGTTCGCATTCATCGGGCAATCCAGGAGCAAAAGCTTCACTGACTGCATGGATCTTTGTAAGACCTCTAGCCGACTCATCCCTCTCCTGGACATTCCTGGACCACATTGGCAAAACTATGTTTTGATGCCAATTGGGGTAGGACTTTCATGGTCATCCTATGTCATCCTTATTCGAGCTTGCTGCACTTCTGTGTCCATCCAGCATTCCTCTTGCGAGTGAAGCCTTGAGCTTTGGCATTGTGCTGATTTGAATGAGTCGAGAGTGAATTTCAGTGCCGATTACAAGTATCGCTGGATAAAGGCTAAAACGACTCACGTATGGTGTGGTTCATACTTCTAACTGCACTCAGGCCTGATGCTTTTTTTTTCAACAAGCAGCCCTCTGCAAGTGTCCTTCTGGTCATCCACTCAAAATGATGAAAAATCGCATCAGTTGCTGGTATATCTGGTCTCCAACAGGATTGCCCAAACATCATCTATGACCTTTTCCATGTTTGTGGCACATGGCCAGGTCGAAATGTGTGCAGCTCGGACAGCTGCTTTTGAGCGGCCGCTGCTGCCATACAGCGCGCGGATCATCACGCCTCAGCAGCTGTGGGGCTCAGGCGGTCGTTAAGGTGCACTCCCTGGTACATAGAATGCATAGAATGCATAGCTTATAACTTACAGTTGCACATGTGTGGGGCAAAAGGCCACTATAGGTCCTATGTAGGTTGCAGTGGTAAGTCTACGGCCCCCCAATGACCAATGGGCTCCTCCAACGGGTCTCCCGGCGGCAGCTGCGAACTGTGCGTGTGGAAACTCTACGAGCTTAGCCTGAGGCACAAATAGCCATTGATGCTGTGCCAAAAACGGTCAATCCCTACTTTCAAGTGACAAGGTGTGATCTCCGGGCGTCCACACCAGTTTGGCTGCCAGCCCATCCAGCTCCTGGGGAACAGCCCTGGAAGGGAATGCCGGACGTCTGCAGGTTTTGTTGCAGGTTCTGCAATTCCTGCGGCGAAGAAATCCACCATGCAACTGTTGGATGCTCACGTCAAAGGGTGACAAAGGGTGATCACAGGACAAGTGAACTAAGTGAACAGTACAAGCCGGATTCCGAATTCTATCAGTCAAAAGTGGGCGCAGCCCCTCCTGGTTGCTTGGTTTGGCCCCATCTTCCTCGGGCTTATAGACCTTGGTGCAGCTAGGCGTGAGAATTCCTGTTGGCAAGTCATCACAGGAATGAGGAACGGTATGGGTCAAATAGGATGTGTTGAAATGGGTTGATTCACTGGTAAAAGTGACCAATATGTATAAATATATTACATATCATAAATATATATATATGTGTGTGTAATATAATGCATAAAAACATCTAAAAAATGTGGTGACTGGGCCCTCAAATAGTTATTGTTACCCGCGATGCACATGGCCAGCTGGTCCGGCCAAGCAGCCACCAGCATGAAGCCTCAGCGCGGCTGAGGTTTCGACTTTCAACCGTAGGGGGAAGGCTGACCATCGTAACAGATCGAACTTCATAAAATTTCATAAACCCCTTCAAGAATCTTCAAACTTCTTGAAATTCAACTGATCGTTCCGGATGTAAAGGGCCATTGGTCTTCATCGTTCTATGATGTCTGCAGGAAAGACTTCCGGATTACCGAACCCAGACAGCTATCTTTCTAATCCTTTCTGCCTCCAAGATGCGGCCGGGTGCCACCTCGCTAATGTGGCCCATGACAAAGCCTCAAGGCCATCAGGGATCTCCTTAAAAGTCAAAGCACTATCCTTTCAACATCTGTCATGAGAGATACATAGAGATACCAATAATGGTGACCTGTGGATTCAATGGGACAACCTGGCAGGAGGGTTTTACCGATGGAGCTATGACCCCATGGAGTGATGGCAAGCCGCCAGACAAATGTGGCAGAATCATGTTCTCGTGCAGTACATGATACAATTGAGGATTCTCGTGCAGGATTGAGGATTACAATCACTTACAATCAGTTCCAAAATTTGAAAATCCATCGGATACCGGAAGTACAAAGCGACAGGAACCTGTGAAACCAAGGCCTCAGTTGGAGGTTTCCTAAGTCATGGTACGTACCCCCAGTCATACCCCCAGTCATCCATGTTTTTTGCTGTTTGAAATAAACCATCCAGCTCTTGGGGTACCAAGACTTAGGAACCTCCCAGTCTCCCAGTTTTTCCGGTGACCCACACCTCCAGGGGAGAAGTCCACAACCTCAATCTCCAGGCCCGCCTGCGCCTGAACGGTCGCAGAATTTTGGCTTTCGAATCGGTCAAGCCAAGAGTTGGATTTGAAATTGAACATTGTAACATGATGTAATATGATTGAAATGTTTGGATTTCATCATTTTGGATGAAACTGATAGATTGTCCAATCATAATAACTAAATCTCGTCGTTTTAAATGATGAAACTGATCCCAATTCTGAGGGATTGACAAGCAGTGTTTGACCCCGCAAAGGTCATTGCCAACCAGTAGCAGGCAAGGTGCAACTGAAGCCCAAGGATTCTTGAAATTGCTGCCTATGTTTTTCTAATTGGCGAACCAGGCTGGTACCTCGTGTCCTCATCAGAGTCTGCGGAATGCCATTTAAGCAGCCGCCAACTGAGATTTAAAGCAAAAAATGCATGACCACGCATCTAAACTCAGCGGGTTTGCTCATCTGTGTCTTTCTCATTCAAATTAAGGCCATCTGTATCATCCTCGAAAATGCCCAAATCATCTGCATCCCCGTCATTCAAATTCAGGCCGTCTGCATCATCGTCGAAAATGCCCATATCATCTGCATCTCCGTTGGTTATATTGAGGCCGGCTGCATTTTCTTCGAAAATGCCCAGATCATCTGCATTTCCTTCATTGAAATTGAGGCCGTCTGCATCATCTTCGAAAATGCCTAAATCGTCTGCATCTCCTTCATTCAAATTGAGACCATCTGCATCATCTTCGAAAATGCCTAAATCATCTGCATCTCCTTCATTCAAATTCAGGCCATCTACATCATCTTCGAAAATGCCTAAATCATCTGCATCTCCTTCATTCAAATTCAGGCCATCTACATTATCATCTTCAAAAATGCCCAAATCATCTGCATCTCCTTCATTCAAGTTGAGACCATCTGCATCACCTTCTCGCATGCGCATGTTTTCTTGCTTCAAGTTCAGGTCATTTGCATCATCTCCAACAATACCCAAATCCTTTGCTTCTTGGTGCACACTCAACGACTCTCTTTGTTCATGCGAATTTTGTTCCTTCGACGACTCTCCTTCAGGGCTCACGCCTGTGGGGTTTGCTCCAGAAATCAAGTCTTTAGCCTTGCCTTGCCCCGAACTCCGCTGCTTGCTGCTTTGGCTATTCCGTTGGTTGAGAGTGGGAAGTGCCGCTTGAACTGAGACTGCCTCTGTTTCTTTGATGCTAAGCCCACGCGACTTGGAAGGATCCATGACCTCTTCATTTCCTGCCCTGGTCTTTGGGCTGAACTCCAAAGTACTCTGCAGACTGTGTTGCAAGAAATCATGTCGCTTGGAGGCCAAGTTCTGGTTGGAGTCTTGAAGTCTCAAAAGCAAAACCTTTTTGCTCTCCTCCAGCTTCATCAATTCTCCATGTAAACTGTCATTTGCCTGTGCTGCTTCCTTATCACAGTGCTTCAATTTTTTGATCTCTTGTTGGAGCACAGCAAAGCGGCCTTGCATGGCTGATTGGGAGGCCTCATTTCTTCCCAACTTTTTCTCCAGGTTTCTTTTTTCCTGCATGGCTTCATTGAATTGGCCCATCAAAAAATGCCGTTCCCCTTCCAACGCCCCCGCCTCGGATCGTTTTAAACGATTCTGCTGAAGCATCTCCCTGAGGGCCAGGCGTTGAGTTTCTCGCTCTTTCTTGCCAGACTCCACCTTCTGTTCTAAGAGTCGTTGGTTCTGCTCCTCATCCTGATGCTGCTGGCGGAGACTCCTCAGCTCTTCCTCCAAAGTCTTGAAATCAACTTTCAGGCGGGTACTTTCCTCCACAGATTTGTACACACGCTGTCGCAGCACTTGCAACTCCTTCATGAGAACACTACTTTCTTGCCGCAAGTCCTGTCGCTGCAGCTTGTCTCTGTGCAAATGCTCCAGAAGGGTAGTCCTTTCGGCCTTCAGTGCCTCGAGCTGAGTGTGCAAATGCTGGTTCTCATGGCGGACGGAATCCAACTTCCGCTCGGTGTCCAGCTTCTCTTGCTGCACCACTGCCACACGGTGTTCCAGGTCACCCTTCTCCTTCAACGCAGCAGCAAGTTGCCGTGGGCGGTCACTGGACTCGGTGGCTTTGCCCTTTGAGACTTTGGGAGCACCAGGAGCAGGAGCCATGGGAGCCATTGCTGAAGTGCATTTTTTCACATGTAATGGCTTTAGTCTACAGATGTCTACAGTGTTTCAAGCAAATTGACGTTGGGAACCGCTACTCCAGACCACTTGCCTGTGGAGCAATGTCACTCTGAGAATGATCTGAGTCGAGCAGAAACCTAATTTCTCTCTTCAACTTGAAAACCTCTTAGGACAGGCCTAATCCTTGGGACCAAAAGGCTGCGGATTGCCAATGTGGGGAGCTTTGCAAACTGCCCAAACTGCCAAAGCATTCCACAGCACCAAACAGCACGGTTGCCGCCGTTGCCGCCCTCCTGCACAGCTGGGGTCCTCACAGTCTGTCCGTCCATCATCTCCACCTGGCTGAAATTCTTCCAGCCCCAGTGGTTCCGGTTCAGTGGTGCTACCCTCCCCAGCCCTGCCTGAACATTGAAGACTTCCTTAGAGCTTCGATTCATCAACAAGCTAAAGGCAATGCAACAAAAACGACCAAAACAATTGAAATTTGGGACTTAAGGTCGCTATCTCCAAATCTTCCTCACGGAAGGCTTGAGAGTCTGTCATGGGAGTCATGGGGGGCCAGAAGTCAAGTTGTCCAGTTCGCTTCTCCCAAAACCATGTCAGCTGAGGCTCCCAAGGGCTTCCCATCACTGGCACACCACTGATGGTGCCGGTTTGGTGATCCAAGGTCAATCTGCAGCCAGGCGTAGCAATATTCCCACAATCCATTGATCCAGTGTTTAACTGTTTGTTGCGTCCCCTGCAAATCGCGATCCCAACTTCAACCTAATATTCCTATATATATAATATATATGTATATTGTATGTATATAATTATGTATCTATACACCGTTTGCATACTTTTTGAAGTTCCATCTCTCACCAGCACCAACCGGATAAAAAAAAAGTCTGCGAGACAGCGCTGAGTCAGGTACCCCTCTGGCAAGCGGCTCAGGACACTAAAACGCCTGTGGTTTGAAATCCGGCAGTTCCAGATCACTTAAGACCACTGAAAAAATCTCCAACTCTGAGGGATCGTCCATGAATAAATGGATCCATTTAGGGGAAAATCTACAGGAAACCATAATCTTGACATATCTTGACCACCAGTTTTAGCGGTTTCCTGTAAATGTGCCCGTCGTCCAATTTGTAATGAAACCCGTCACACACTTCTCACACAGTGCACCACTGGTAGTCTGACAGGGCAGCTTTGGTCACCTGGTGGTGCTGGAGGGGCCAAAGAGCGCCGGACGGATCTCAGTCTGCTGTCCAGTAGTCAAGGTGACTCTCGAAGGGGTGTACCTGGGCTGGTGGCACTTCGGAACAAGAAATATGGGAGTATGTTCCGCTTCTCTATTCAGCCATTATCAGCACAATCCGCTACTTATACCCCTATTCAGATTCAGATTCATCATCACATCTCAGTCTCTGTGTGTGTGTGCGTGGTTCTGTCGGCTTAGCCTGATGTGTTGCTGCATGTAATGCATAGTCTTGCTCGATTCAAAGTGTCTCAGTTGGCCCCAAATGAACAAAATTCTGATGACATTGTCATAGCGCGTGCTGGAGAGCATCCAGCATCATTGTCAGATCACGGTGACCGTGTCACCGTGTCACCCACTACCGTCCCAAAGATCTGGGCTTTGGGACGTAAACACCACGGACTTCACGCTGCTGGTGCCATTATTGGGCACTGCCTCGATCTCGGATGCAACTTTCAAGCACCAGGGGATGATCAGCGCTAGGGGAATGAGTAGAATCTGAGTAGAATCCCTTGAGATATCAAGGGCGGCAACCATTGACAACCATTGACAACCATGGTTGATTAATACTACCATTGACAACCATGAACAACCATGTAAATCATGGATTCCTTCATTCTTATACATATGTATATATATATACATACTTACATATGATGTATATGCATAGATAATCAGTTTATTTCTAGCAACCGTTGATCCCAGTTACCTGTTACCAGTGGAAGATGTGGAACTGTGTTCGACGCACCTCCTCGGTCAAAGGCTTTTTCCCCCTGACGACCTGGGGCCTGCAAGGGCAAACGACTGGTGAACCGAAAACATAATAGTCAAACAATTAGATTTACATTGAAGAAAACAGAAGAATCTGATACAATCTGACAACTGAACCACGAACCCAAGCCCTGATACCACCGTATTTTCTCATGTTTTGTTCACCCACAGCGGCCTCTGCGGAGCCTCCGGAGCATCCTCCTTGTGAGCAAAGCCTCGCATCAGCTTCCGCTTCTCCCGCTGCTGCTTCTTCCAGGCCTCTCGGCCTCAGGGCTTGCCCAAACTTTTGGGGAAATCTTGTTCTGGAAGGGAACAAATCGTTTGGAAATGGATGTTCCACCAAGATATACATATACATAATAGATATGTATGTGTATATATATATGTACATATGCTGGCCCGAGTTCAAAATCTCACCATCTACAAATGGACCTGCAGTATAGCCAGTATAGCTGTTCCAGCCAACGTTGGTCAATTCAAGAAGAGCAACAGGATGTTGAATCAGCCCCACTGAAACATCACAACCATACAACCGGGGAACAGGTCACCTTCAACAAACAACCATTGGGCTGATACTAAAAACCCCTTTGGGACGTTCACAAACCTGTGGGTTTCCGTGGTTAAAAAAAAGTGCTGCAGAATGACACACCCAGCGTGGCACAATCTTGGCAACCCGGGCGTTGCTGAAGCTTGGACTGGTGCGTCATATGGCAGAACCTGCAGTGTCAAACTCTTTGGTCAAACTGGTGGAGGCATGAGCTTTTACATGGAGCCACTGGCACAACCCATCTGGGCCACCCCTGCTTGCAATCTGCCCCGCGGTTGCAGCCGCGCCGAGTGAAGCAATAGAAGGTACATGGAGTGCCTCATGCGCAAGACATGGTCAGATGTTCGTCATTCCAATCCTTCAACGTATCTAAAGTTTCAGGCCGTTAAAAGAACACTACTGCCTACAGCATCTCAAGGTCAAAAAGCAGGCGCTTCCACCATTATCCACCAATATCTCTGGTGGCCATTGCGTAGATATTTTGGTCGAAATCTTGCTGCCCCAGTGAACACCAAACTAGCTGGTGGGTTGTGGATGTTCATTCCCTCATGCAGATGCTCCCATTGACCCATCTCCATATCATCGCAATCCATGAATTCTTCATAGATCTTCCATCCCTCAACGACATGGGTTTCTCCAAAGCATGTGGTCTACCCAAAGGCCCAAAGGTCTGCTGGTTCATCATGATTCATCATCATATTCCCCGCTTATTTCTTTGTGAACAAGGGCCATTTTGGATCCATGTTCAACTCCAGGAAGAAGACCCCTCAAAATCCAGTAGTTGATCAAATTTGTTCCCCGTTGAAATAGCCATTTATACTCCATTTATCAGAAAAAACCAACCAAGGCACCCCCCCACCAACTGCTCCAAAGCTACAGCCGTCAGGGTGTCCAACACTTCCCATCGACTCCTTGGGTCCGTCCCGCGCCAAGGTGGCATAGCCTGGGCCTGCCTGGCCCAGTCTGACAGTCTCAAAGGACTTTGGGGTACCCCAAGATGTGGATGCTATGTGATTCATACATATACATATATATATATATTTGTATACAGTACATATATATATGTGATGTATATATATATATACATATATATATATTATATTCAGCATACATTGTATATTATAAAAACATCGAGATTTAACTGATTTAACTGATTTGACCAATAGATATGGAGACGCGATGTGATTTTTCACAGCTATAAAATTATAAACGAGGCTGTGGGAATGGGTCAGGTCATTGAATCATTATAATCATCAGGTGTCGGTTTCGGAATGTTTCGGATGGGATGGGTTTGTACTTAAAATGTCATCGCCCCACCAGGCTGCGCCTCTTCATCAGAAGATTCCATCATTTCCTGCTCTTCGTTTGCCATGACTGTACGCCAAGAGATTCGACTCGAGCCGGAGAGGCCTTCTGCAAGGAGGACGATCACAGGAAGCGAACTTTCAAACTTTCGACTTTGAAGCAGAACAACAAAAATCAGAATCAACATGAATCAACAGCTCTTCAACAGCTATTTTTTGGAAGTTGCTCAAGATGTTCCCTTTGGCTTTAACTTGCGCGGCAAAAGATGCCGCGCTGCCGTCTCACGGCTGGCTTCCTCCCGTCTTTCCTCGGCGGAACGCAAGACGCTTGGTCTTGCCGCCTTCCTCTCTTGAGCCACAGCCACGGAGTCACGGAGTCACGGAGTTCAGGGTGCACATGAACAAAAGGTCTGGACACATGATGCTGAAGTTCTGAAGGGACGTGGGTACAGAGCACTATGGGAGCTTTCTAAACACATTCATCACATTGCTCGAAGTTGCTCGAAGTTGCTCGAAGTTGCTCGAAGTTGCTCGAAGTTGCTCGAAGTACTTAAACCAATTTAAACCATCTTGAACCTGCTTGCTCTACACTCACAGCTGGCTTCAGCAGGTTTCACCATGACCACAGCCCAGTCGCACTTGTCGACCAAGGCCAGCCGGGCATCCTTGGCCTTTGCACCAGGCGTCAAGGACAGGAGCCAATCCTCAGAACCGGTCGATCAAGTCGACCAAGTCGACCAAGTGCACGGTTGGAATATCTTGGAATGCCATACCGGCTATGCATGGCTATGCCATGCTATACCCGGCTATACCATCCTGCTGCAGTGCAAACGTTGATTTGTTTTTTCAGGTATGGTATGTGGATTCGAGATCATCCGATTCCTGAAATGGCCGTCACAAATCATATGAAACCTCAAGGGTCCTGGTTGCGTGTCAAGTCAGAATAGGAAAGTCTGGTGAAGAAAATGCCTGCAGATGTCATCTATGATCTTCCGCTCTTGGGTGCCGTGCAACCAATGCCTCCTAGAGAAGATCCGATGCAAAACACAGTTGGAAAAGGACAAGGACGACAGATTGCAGCATCAAGGTTCAGTCATTAGAGGCCTTATGTACCATGTGGACCCAAACATCTACCAAAGCTAGTTTGGTGGGTTCCCAAACTGGAACAGCCATCTTCATGCAATGAATTTTTACCCCACCGGCCCACCAGCAGAGCTGCCAAGTGCCTCTTCGATGTGCACAGGCAGTTGACTTCGAACCTAACCAGAACAATGTGGTTCTACCTGGTGAGATCCAAATCTATAAATTACCCAACCCACAGCAGCACATCCCGTTGCCTCATCTACCTGCTGAGGAGTAAAAACCAAGCCGGCTCTCACCGCCGCTACCTGTCAGGGGACGAGTTTGGAGCTATAGCCCGACAGGTGGCAAGTTGGGAAGCCACCATCTCCGTAAAAAAAAGGCTGTCCCAGACGACACCAAGTGTACCCTCAGCCCGGCTGTGCCTGCCATTCTCCAATCATGGCTTCTATCCCGGAGACGTTGCTCTGAACGTACAGCCTTCAGCTGCAGTCCCGGTCAGCTATGCATCATGCTAAGTCCACTTTGCCTGGTTGGATCCTGAAATCGGGCATTCTGGATTCAAATTGGATTTAATTGACGACAATATACAACATTCATTTGAAATCATCAACCATTCACAGCCAAGCCAAGGATTCCACTTGGACGCAGCAAGATCTTGATCTAGGAGGCTAAAGAAGTCCTGGGTCGAGCTGAGCTGAGCCAACTTCCCGACCTCCCAGGGATGGCGCTCCTGCTGTGGCCCAACTATCCTTGGATGACCCGTCGAGGAGGCGGCCTCAGCATCCCGAAAAGATCAAAGGATCTGCCACGGTCCATGCAGTCCATCCTAAGTTTAGCCACTCAGTCTCACTCAGTCCACTTTTGTTTGCGCTCAATCCATTCGACATCCTTTTCAGCATTTGTCCAGAACCTTCAGCACTTTTGAAGTGGACTGAACGGATACTGATGGGCTTCCGACCACAACGGAAGAGGAGGAAGATGCCGCCTGACTCTCCAAGATCTCCTGAAATTCAGCTTCCGAAAAGCCAAAGCCACATCCCCAAGGAACAAAAAATGGCACCTTTCCTGATGTGACATTGATCAGCAAAATAGTGCTACTTGCAAGCACTACACAAGGTGTACTCCACTCCTGCTGGACTGGCCCATCTTAGCGCGGAAGGCGGCTGTTTGGATGGCCATGGTTGAAGTGGAGTGAGATTGTAGCTGTCAAAAAATGACATGTTGATTTATATGCAGTGATCAGTAAACCTGTTTAAACGACTCGCTGTCCCAGGTTTGTGTAGTTTCTCACGCAGACCCATCGCGTTCGAAACATGTCCCTTCAAAGCACAAGAGTTAGTGAGATACATTCACAATCGCCCACGGCCCAACACTCCCGTGGCAGCTTCCTCCAGAACATGTCCGCCCAATCTGGGAATCCGACAATCATCTCCACTGGAGTTGTCTGGCTCATCCTGTCATGGAAGGGGCGTCCTCTACAACAGGCAGTGAGCGAATCGGTACAACATTCTCCAATATCTGCATCATTGCATCATACCTCCGATGAGTCGTGAAAAAAACAGAAAAGGACTACGGCAGAATGGCCGTAAATTTATATACTTCGAATTCACTGATTGCAGAGAAAATCAGCATCAGGTAAAGCAATTTGCCATTACAAAAAGCCGCGCAACTGAACTGATCCTCTGCACCCCACAGGAGCCTTTCCGCACAGCGCACTGACCTTGCTCAGGTTGTGTTTCAAATCCTGACCGGAGTTGAAGCTGTCCCTGCCATGGCTTCTCTCATGGTGGACCCTTCACTCCACCCTTCTGCCCGGCTCCTTGTAAGAAATGTATGGCTCATCCGCCCGGCTGTTCTGTGTCACAGCCGCTAGAAGCTTCCCGAACCTGGGAGTTGCCATTAGCTTGTTGGGCCATCGCAGACAGGTGTACAGACATGGTCATTTCTTGGAATGGGTGCCCATCCAAAAATTGTCATGTTTTGGGGAAACCAATGGTTTCAGGGTCCTCTAATCTTAAGCCTTGAGAGGCATCCAAATCGTTAATTCATGAATCATGAATGCAAAAAAAATGAAACAGGTGCAAATGCGCCTGCGATGTGTCTATACCATAGAATGACGCCTTGGCATTTCCTGTGATCATCATGATACGATGAGTAGAGGCATCTATGTGGCGTGCATCTCAATTATGTCACTGTGCAATGCTATAGCAGTGTTGCTGTTGCATCTATAATTATAGTCTGGCCCCGGAAAAATATCTCAACTTTAAGCCAAGCAGCCGCATCCCGCAACGACACCGGTTCCCCGGTCACCCCCCCAATTCGGCTGGCCCACAGTTCCGGGGCGCAAATTCCACGGCAGCCCCCCTTTCTGGGATCGGGATGCCAATGGACTGCAGCACACCGGTAGGACCAGCACAACCAAAACTCCCCACAAGCTTGAGCCGAAAACGGCGGGAAGGGGTGGACCTGGCAAAGTTGGTGAAATTCTCAAGTCTTCAAATCGTATCAATCTATGCAGAGATTCTAAGTCAACAGAAACTATACTTGAAGCGTATGTACCCATCTAGCTGAAGATACTGTGTGTATATCATGTACACATAAGGCCACAAAATGTTTTAAAGCTATATATATATAATATTTATAAACTATTCCGAACCATGAAAAGTCTGCTGTTGGAGGTTTCCAATCGTCTCAGGTACACCAGACAATCATCAAATTGTCTTGTCAAAGCCAGGAAGACCGTGAAGTAACGGTGCTGTTGATCAGCTTCCAGTGCTGTGCGCGTGAGCCCCATCTTGAAGACCTGAGGAGTTTTCGTGAATTTCTCAGATCTGCTTCGGTTGAGAGTGAAACAAAACTGCATAGGAATCTGTTGTTTTCTTGGTGGCTCCCTGAATGAGTTGGACGGTGGGAGGCCATTCAACACCCAGGCAAAGCTCCATTGTGTCGGCTTTCTCGGCCAGACAAGGCATGTGTTTGCATAAATCCTGCCTGCAAGCGAAACATCTTGTCCTCCACCATCCCACTCATAATGAGACGATAGACCCTCACCTCCAGAAGTGCAGTCCATGTGGAAATGACTTGAGGGCTGGGCTGTAATTCAAGCCAAAGGCAATTACGCTCGTTCTGTCTCTAAGCTTTCAGTGGTGAATCCAGGGCTCTTCACTGGGTGTGAAAACTTGACCCTGTGTTGCTAATCACAAGGATTGCCCATGCTGCCACTTGCGCATCACTTAAACGCACAGAGTCCCAGCCTATGCGGAAGGGACGGGTGACGACAGGCTTACGCTGCTATTACGCGGACAGTTCTGGTTGAAAAGTAACACCTTAAGGAAGGCATACAAGCTTTCGTTACCCACCATAAAAGTGCATATGCACGCTTGCGCAACAAAACAATGCTCGACTAAGAAAACGTACGCCACCTTCCACCATTCTGAGCTGAACATGATCAGAATTTAGTCTTGAGGGCCTTAGGCAACCAGAATTTCATTGAAAGAGCCAGACCCATGTTTGCCCAGGCCCATGCTTTATTCCACAAATGCCACACTCATTGAATAAAGCCACTTGTGATGGGAGGGACTGCAGCTAGCCTCCTTGGTCTGTCCAATGCGGTAGGCACGGTCCACAGCCTCTCCCAGAACAGGGCATGGGTAGTTGGAGGAAAAACATCCGGCCCAATCCATCCCCATCTTGCATGAAAAAAGGTCACTTCACACTGACTTGGTCTTCACCTTTCCATTGCACTCCATCAAATGATTGTTATTTAATAGTACCAGTTATTAAAGCGATGGCCAGTGCAGTCCCTTGCACCCAATTTTGAAGCGACCGCCAGCTGCCCTAGGATCAGCCCAGCCTGGGCATCAGTGGCAGGATTCCAAGCCTCAGGGGAGCCGCAAAGGTCGGGGCCCAAGGAGCCCCCGGGAGGACCTAAGCAACCTGGGCAGCCACACAGGATCCACCAGCACCACTCGGTCAGCTGCTGTGAGGTTCAACCCCACCCCACCCACGGCGGTAGTGAGAAGCATACACCTCAGACGGCTCAGATGTAAAGAGTAGAAGAGGTTTTCCGTCTTTGAGGTGCAATGCAAGCATGGGTTCTGAAACTTCACAACTGATTAGTTAGATTAGTGATTAGTTGGGTTTTCATCCGGTTTTGAACTCTTTGGCTCTGGACAAAAGGTGGGACCTCCTTCAGTTGCGCACTGGAAGCGTTCAGGCTGGTTGTTGAACTTGGCCACCTGGGTCATGCCAGCAACACCGTCTGCGGCCACCGGGACAGCTGAGCTGAGGCCCTGGCCTTTTCTGCACGCGCCTGTGTCTCTGTCAAGCCATCGATACGCAAACATCGTAGACCTCGGCAATCAAGGACTCATATCTAACAGAGCCTGTTGCCTCCCGCCGCGGTCTAAGCTCGTGGAATCTGTGGAAATAAATGGTGCAGCATTTTATCTCCCAAATGTCACTCTGCATGAAAATGTTTTTTTGTAGTCAGTTGCAAAGGCCGGCAGCTCCATGTGGATCAACAGTGCCAAGCAAACTCAAAACACAAGGTCCCACCGCATCACAATCCCACCAAGGAGCCGTTGGGTTTGAGACAGCAGATCTGTACCAGGTCCAACATCTTGACCTTGCTTCACATGTCACACATCTCACACATACAAGGAAGGTTGCGCAATCACCTGAGCGCAGCGAAATATCTTCTGCCGAACCGAGTACCAACTTTCAGCTGCACCAAGCTTTTCTGTCTGTTTCCTCAGGCTCGAAGCATCAAGTCCGGGCTCCTGAGTGTCTGCGTAACAAAATCGCAAAAAGTGCTTGGAATGGGCTAATTAGGCTAAGCACCATTCGTGGAAGATATCGCAAGCTCTGTTGGCTCACAGTTCCAGTGGCTCACGGCCTAGGTGCCATGAGCTTGCCTTGCATTATGGATTTGCAATTACCCAGGCATGTCCTGGAACTGGCATTTCGATTGCCCGGGCGGGCCCTGGAACTAACAAATAGCGCAACAAATAGGCGAGGGTCAACATTCCACACACTTTGCATATTATGCTGACCCACTGGTCACACATTTTTGTCAAGAAAAGCTTTGACTCATGTGCCATATCCTGCTCTTGCATGTCTTTCTGATATGCATCATCCCGCTCTTGCATTTTCCTCTGAAATTCCTTTGCCTTCTGATGCATCTCCGATTGATGTTTTCGGTCTCTCCACCATTTGTCAACTTGCAAGCCAAATTGCGCAACATTTCTCACCATGTCAGCACGTGCCACCTCTCTTTGCTTCTTGCTTTGCTCCTCGAATGCATTCATCATGTTGCGCATCTCAATCATCTCGCTCGTCATCTCCTGTGCGTTATTTGTTGGAATAGGACCACGAGCCAACGCACACAATGCCGAACCCAAACCAGTCGCAAGTGCGATCACGATTAGCTCTCCCACAATGGCTGGGCTCCCGGGTGAAGAAGCAAGCAGCAGCAAACACAGCGCAGCCACAGCCATTAAGCGCCGGCAAGGGCGGGAAGACATGACGGGCGAAAAAAGGATAAAAAGCTTTTTGGCCTGGGAACTACCAGTTCTCGAGCCAAACTCAGATCTTCCAAACACCCAAAATACACACCTGCCAATGGGTCTGTGAGGAAGCAATGGTGACCCTGCAGCACATCAGAGAAGAACCGCCATCCAATTGTGCCACACCATTTCTGAGCTTTGAGAGTCGTGCACTCTGCGAGAAGACTAGTGTGCGATGACCTCGCAGTTGAAATCAATGCTTCCCTTGGGTTTACGCAGCAGTTACTGTACCAGTACCACACAAAAGGGTGGTGCAGTGGTGCATCCTTTCCACAGCACAGCTGCGCTTGTCGCTCCCAGTCGCGCCTTTTGCGGCTAGGTCTGGCAAGAGCTTCGAGAGGCATCGCAGCTTTGCGCTTTGCTGCAACACATCCTTGCACTCAAAACACCAAACAGGAGTCTTGACACCAAACAAATAAGCATTTGTGGTATGCCCCATGATCCCCATGCAGATTTTCCTGGAGACTTTGTAGTCCTTCCCTCACAAAGCTCAGACCTTTCTGTGTCCAGCTTTCCTTTTCTGTAAAGGAAAGTGTAAGGGAACCAGCTAGAAACCAGTGTGATCTTCAAGAGCAACGCTCACAGCAAAACAGATTCGAGGAAGGTACAGTAAGCAGCTTCAAAATGAGGAAAGATTCACTAGGGCGAAAATGCCATAAACAACACTGTACAGACTGTACAGTCTGTTGTCCCTTCCATTCCATCTATTCCGACTTCTCCACCTTCATTGGTCAACCTTTTATAGATTCTCCAATGATGTGGCTGGGAATGATCAGCTGAAAGGTAAGCGGGTTCGCCCAGTCCTGGCAATTTCGAGACCTCGGGACCGAACAGTGGTGGCTCAAAAGAGGCACCATCCCCAAAGCTGCTTCGTTCTTGGCTAAGAATGGGACAGGGGAGAGGATACATGACACAAATGCTGTCTCCGATGACTCATTGAATTCGCTTCAAAATCATGATTGGCACTGGTATCACTGGTACGTATCTTATCCTTTCAACTCCATTCACCTCGTGTCCTGAGTTCCTGGCAACTTCTTCAGCATCTCCTCGACATCAGGCGATGGAGGATCAGCACCATCCTGCTGCCGTAGGGCTGCTCCCAGCCCAGCAGTCCAAAACAGAAAGGCCGGGAACTGGGAAAGAAGGGACGGTAAAGTGACCAGTTTCCCCCCAAAACTTGTGGCTATGGTTCACCCAGTTCACCCGAAATAGGTTGGAGCAACCCTGGTAACTGCGGTAGTGTTGAAAAATCTTCTACAGTAGGATTCCAATGAAGGCACCAGTGGCCACACAAAGGGGCCAACCTCCGCTGAATCAGCAGAAGCTGCCTCTGCAGAGGCACCCTCTGCCTAAGCAGGTGTAGCTATGGCAAGACGGCAAGACTATGAAGACTATGGTTTGTGCATCACTCACACTTTTCCAGAATTTGAACAGATCTCAGACGCCAATCTCAACCAGATTAGCTGCTGAACTTGCCAAATTCCCCAGCTCCTTTTGTTGCATCAAATGAAGCCCGCGTCAAAGCCGTCTCAGGATAGCACCATCACCTCATCCTTGCAGCGTTTGGGGAGTCCATGAACTGCTTGACTGGTGAAGTTCAGGAGTTCTCATGAGTTGATACAACACGGCCATGCGGGCTTGAACCCTGCGGTTATCACAAACTCGTAACACACCACCTATAGCTGTTTCTTTACAAAATCAGCCTACAAGATCCTACAAGACTTCACCTTTAGCCGCAGTAGCCCCTGTCCATGTCCTGCTCAGGCTCAGCCTCTGAAGGCTCTTTCTCTGCCTTTCCAGGGGGTTCTTGGTATGCGGGCATCGGTCACAAGTAGAAGTGTCTCTCTCAAAGCTTGTGGCCAAGGTTTGGGGATCTAGACTTTGAGAAGGTTGAACTTCAACTGACAAGAGCACTGGCAAAGCATCTTCGGCATATCCCATCGTGTAGGGATGTGTAGGGTAGGGTTTCTTCTGCCCATACTCCCACCACCCCACGGCTCCACGGATATGAACTCAGCGCCTCAGTGCTGGTCTCTTGAGCCTGGCCACGATGCCGACCTGTCACCTGTCATGACCTGTCATGACCTGTCATGACCTGTCGATCCTATTCTGTTTGCCAAGCCCAGCCTGCACCTCTTTCAGGAGCTCTGCCCAGTCCTTGACTTTGGGCATCTGCCTGGGTGGTGACAACTTGCCCCACAACAAAAATGGAAGATGTAAAAGTGAGTTTCAGGATTCCAGAGGTTAAAAACAACGCACAAAAACACTAAAACTTGTTACTTTGCCTTTCAATATGGCTTGCAGACTGCCTTAACATCACGTACAGCAACAACCAACATCACCCTCATTGCCCCGCCACCATCCACGCTGGTGAGGCTGAGAGGCAATAGCAACAGCGGGTGATTGCACAGGCGCTTCAGAAGACCAATGGCGCGGAAGACCTGAGCAGCAGCTTCTTGTAGCATTTTTATCCGGGTCTGTTTTTGAAATTATGTTCAGCCATTCAACGTTAGTATACATCACTCAACTATTGATTTGTGACCTTGACTCCGCAGCATGAGTGAAGTCGGCGACTGAAATCAATCTCCTGGACATAGCCACCCGCTAGGCCTCGCCTCAATGCCCAGCTTGGACTTGTTGCAAGCCTCCCTGATCACCTCGCTCTGCTCCAACACCTTCCAGCTAAGCTTTTTGAATGAACAGACTCAAAGCTCAATTGACAAACCTAAACTTGAGAGAAGAATCCTAATAGAATCCTAACATCTGGATGCATCGAAAGATCAGTTGATGCGAGCTGGTGCCGAAGGACTGCCATGACTAGGAGGTTGGGATGGCGGAAGTCAAACAAGTCAGGCTGCAACAAGAAACACAAGGACCGCAACACTCGCCTTCTTATACATGGCCTCCTGCTCTTCGCTAGGATAAAGCCAAACCTCACAGCACCCAGAATCCAAAATTTGTCCAAATGCCCATGAGAAATAAAGCATCCATTCACACCTATGCACTGGCCGGTTGTGAGGTCAAGTGTGGCAACTCGATGCAACACCATTCTCTCATCTGCTTGTCCCCAGGCTTTCATGATATATAGAAAGGGGAAGCATCCAAGTCGAGAAAAGGGAAGTGTATTGGGATGTATTCGGTATGGTATGATATGGTTGTGTGATGTTGTGTGGTCCAAGGGGTGCCAAACTGAAAATCATCCGCTGCTGCAGTTGCTGTGCCAACTTTGCGACGCTTGGCTGCCGCGCGATGGTTTCCTTCTTGCTGGGCAGCTTCTTCACGACTCCCTCGACGTCCACGGGGGTCGAATCCTGGCCAAGATCTAGTCACCTTGTCATCTCACAGATCTAGGCTTACGAGTTGAAACTCGGATGTGGTCATGCTCCAATTCCATCAGATTACATTCATCAACTGATTGGAAATATTACATATTATTAACATAATTGTAACCATAATCTGGTGGAAAAAAGCATCCTCATAGCATCCTCATGTGCCTCAAAATATGCACCCAAAGTCACAGTCCCCTTTGAATGACTCGCCTCCATCTCCACATCCTCCCCAGATCCATCGATTTCACCTGGTTTTCTGGCCGAGGCTAAATGCTAAGTTGGTTCAACATTGAGTCGATATGGACATGAGTAGCTGATGGCAACCTGAAAGTGCTGAACCGAGACCATGCTGCCATCCTCCTTGGCCCTTTAGGCCCGTGAGTGTTGATGTCCTGTTGATGTTTGTTGATGTTTGTGCAGGATCACATCCAACCAAGGTGTCTATCCATGAAGGACCACTCCGAGCATTCCGGCCATCTCCCATAATGCCAGCACTTGTTTTGGTCCGACGAAGGAGGTGAGGATTGATTAGGGCCTGCAGAGAAGCTGAAGACTTGCTGATGTGACACCAAAACGCTGTTTGGATACCAATAGGTCAAATGTCACTGAGAAAAAGGGCTGTGCTGACCCTGTGCAAGTCACAACTATAGCCATAGCTGTATAATTCAGGTTCTGAATCAAGTTGCAACTAAGCCCTGCTACTGGCAGCATGTAACAGAAGCAGAGAGAACAACAGAGGAAACACTTCGAAGGAACTAACACATGGATATGAAAAATCAATGGTGTTCCTGAGAAAATGATGTATAACAAGGTGGATTTCCAAGACTACACGCAACCATTTAAAAATAGATGGAAAGTCACAGAAAAGTTCTAAGCCTGGAAATGATTATGTGGTAAAATCATCCAAACTTTGCAACATGCTGGAAAGCCTCTTCTATCTTCTTGGAGATCCCACAAGAAGATTGGCGAATCATGGAGAATCCACAAAAGGTTTTGCACAGAACCTGTCTGTATATCTGACTAGTCGAATTCAAAGAACTGGATGGTAGAAATCGGTAGAAATACTCCATGTCCAAGTCCTAGTCTTGTTGCATTCCCATCCCTGCGCAAGCTGACCCGCAGCTGCTCAGCCAAGTGTTTCTTGAGCTCCACCGCCCAGACCTGTGGGAAGCATCAAAAAATATGGGTACAGCATCTATAATCACCTATAAAGTAGCTATGAAATTCTTAGTATCTAATAACTCAGCTTTTTTAATGCTTTTTTACAATCTTTTTTTTGTGGGGCTATAGTCGAGATCTAACCTGGTGGACAGGTGACTGTGGACTGTACCAAAAATAATACGACTCAGTGGGCAATCACATACAATACGAACTGGAAATATCAGATGGCATACAACTTAAGGAAAATGTTTGCCAAGCTGCAACCAAAACAACAGTTGCAGTAGTTTCCCATCTGGTCATCTGGTCCAGTTTTTTTTTGGACAGTGGCCCATGGTCACACCTTGGCTCCGCGAACACTTCCGCGGTCGATGGGCTCGCTGAAAGTCTTCACAAACCTGACGAAACAAGATATATCCATATGGATGGATATATAGATCCATACATATGTATGTATATATATATGTGGATGGATATTCATATATATATATATATCACCAGTTCCAAATGGATCTACAATCTGGTCTTCGACGAATATGGCAATGGGAAAGGCTCCAGTTTTCATGGGGAAAATGGATAGTCCAGAACCAAATCATCTTGGTGCCCCCAACGTGGCGTGGTTTCCCAGCAGCCCTGGTTGGGCAAAGTCCATCAAGGCCCACAAGTCCTGCGCTCGTGTGACCAGCTCAACTGCTTTCAGCACTAAGCTGGGACGCTCAAACGCGCTTTCATTTGAAACTCTTAGCACCTGAAATCACCTGACGTCCTGCACCCGTGCACACGAAGCTCACACGATAGATCATGTTTAAGTGGTTTTACCCACAGCACACCTGTATCGTCCTGTATCCTTCATGCAAACAGTCCGCACATGCGCAGAGCGCATTTGTGTTGCCATATCGTGCCAGAAGCTCACGTGGATGCACGTAAACGTATACGTACTGCACTCTGCAAGCCATGCACAAGAGTTAGTTATTTTTGGGAAGAAGGCGGCCTGCACAAATCGTGTTGGACACATGCACTTTTCCTTCACATGCAATTCACCAGAACATCCTCAGATGAGTGATCGAGTGGCAGTTCGGTCTCAGACCGCTAAAATCAAGTTGAATCCTGAAGTCAACTACCGCCGTCCTGCAAGGCATTCTGCACAGGAGTTCCCGTCAGAAGAATGCGACATTTGGACTTCAGTCCACGAAGACTCTTGGCCAGCAAGGAAGACATGTTCTTCATCCTGAGTTGCCATGGATAGATTTTTTTTCTGTTAAGACGGCACCCAATAGGGACTGAGGGGAGTCAGAGGCATCAAATGGTATCAGTGTCATTTGGCTGTCGAACCCCTCTGCCTGTGAGCCTCGTCACAGATCACCAGGTCCCAAGCCCTGGGAATGGATGGCAGCTGTACATTGGCGACAGAAAACTCCACCGAAAATATGGTATCTACCTCATCATGGGTACATCACCTCGGTATACAAGGAGACCCTCCCTGTCCTAAAGACCATCCAGGCCTGGTGCTGCCAATCTCTGGGAGCCCTTCCCCACCACCAGGCAGTTCTGGCTCGATTTCCTACCAGTTGGAAGTTGGAAGCTCACCCAACAAATATCAGTATGGAAGTATAGAACCAAACAACAGACCAAGGTAACAGAAACTGGAATATACCGAACCGAGGTAGATGTAACCAGGAACAATGGGGACACAGCTGGTTCCGACCCGGCATTCAGATCTGCTCTTGGCACCCTTGAAGTTTCACAACCTGTTGGAAGTTTTGCAGGAACTAGAGGGGACAAGGCATGCCAGATTCGTTGTGAAACCACAGGAACTTTCCAATATGAACCCCATGATTTATCATCACGTTCCGGGTATCAACACCACGCACTTGCAGAATGATCCAATTTCTCATGTTAAATCATGTTCCCTATATAAAACATAATATAATATAATACAATATAATACAACACAAAAAATATTCAATATAATATAATACAATATAATATGATGTAATATAATTTAATATGATATAATATAATAGAATATAATCTAATATGATGTAATATTATATTATATTATATTATATTATATTATATTATAAAAGATAATATGATATAATATGATGTAATGTAATATAATATAATATAATATGACGTAATATAATGTAACATAATTTAATATAATATAATATAATATGATATGATGTAATATAATGTAACATAATTTAATATAATAAAATATAAAATAATATAATATAATATTGTATCATATAATATAATATAATACAATATAATATTATGTTATATTATATTATATTATATTATATATATAGTATTTTATATTTTATATATTTATATTATATATATATATATATTATATTATAATATGTGTAAATAGTATATACTGTAATTATACTGTATATATAACATATATATCCTATTTTTTGACGGGCAAAAAGAAACGCCATGTCAATGTGGCCCCCGAGTCCTCCTCTGACTCCACAGCCTCCCCCTCACCATCGTCATCATCCAGCTTCCGGCGCTTGGAGGGCTGAGGCCCTGGTGGCCTTGGAAGTGGGAAAAGATCCCAGAATGTCACCTAATGTGGTAAACCCAACAAGGAAACCATCCCAAAAATCACAATTTTTATGGGTTGTAAAGTCCAAGAAAATGGAAAAGAGTGCTTCAATCCTCAACTGACATTCAACAATCCCTATCATTCACTCAAGTTACAAGGAACTTCTGTACTCTGCAAACCGATCTCATCATCTCATGTTCAGACAGTTCACAACCTTGTGGATCACTGGAATCGCCCTGGAAAGATCACTTTTTCAGTCTTCAGCGACCTACCTTCCGCGACGACGTGTCGGCTCCGGCGTGTCTTCCACACGCACCTGCTGGCTGCAAGATCAAGAAACATGCACGACGTGTCCTCAAAAACTACATGTGTGCCTTTGCAAAAGGATGTTCTTTACATTTCAGCCCGAAGCTGGCGTGTCCATTAAAGCTTAGTTCGCAAAAGAAATGGCAACTAAACTAACTAAACTTCTCAGACACCATTAACTTCTCAGAGGTGGCCCACCTGCAAAAGTTCTTCACAATTGATCGCCAGTGAATAAGAGGTCAACAACAAACCTGGAGCTGTGCTGCACAGCTGCACTTGCACCAGGGACAAAGGTCGTCACAGAAGTGGCTGGACTCCAATGAGTCTGATAGGATACCCCGTCAAAATGAATCAAGAACCATAAACGCTCCATAAATGCTCCGCGAATGCTTCATAAATGCTCATGGACTAGAAAAAACATGGAAAATCCCGGGTAAATTATCTCATGTTTCGCACCTCCCATGGGTCGCCGAATACCACGCAAGGCTTTGGCCCTCTGGGGCGCAGTCCCATAGTAGGTGTACCTGACAGCGCAGGTTATCTCCAAACATCCCAACAGGCAAAATCGCTGCCAATCGCCTTCAGTTTTGGTGATTCACAGCCATCCAAGCCCTCAGTGACATCAACCAGCTAACCAGATTGGTAGATTGGTAGCCAGGTGAAGCCAAGAAATTCTGGCGCACACAGGCCATCCTGGACACCAGCTCTTAGCCTCTCTGCTCCACCTTGGCTTCTGAAAGCCCGACGAAACACGTGAGTACATCCAAAAACCTTGTAGCAATGAAAAATCGTGAAAAAACTGTGAGCCTATGTGGAAAGATGATGAAAAAATGATATTTCTGCAATGAGGAGAAGGTCCACAAATGGCACCAGGTCCTATTTCTACCTGGTTACGTTCGGCCAAATTCAAACGCTACCCACATGCAATCTCATAAACCTCAGGCATAATAGCAACCACTGCATCCGACGAACCATCAGTTGCGTTTGTCAGAAAATGGAATTTCCAAATGATGATAAACCAGTGGGATTTTGGGGTACATCGGTGTCAGGCAAACATGTTTGGATTTATTTGGAACTAAGACGAATCAGGGAACTAAGCTCACAAGCCATCTGCTTTCCCACGCACCCTATCGCTTCAACCAAGCAGCTGTTCCAACAAGGTCACTGGCATCAGCAGGAGCGCATGAGTCTTCCCAGCCTTTCGAGCGCCATTCAGCAAGGCGCACACCTTGCACAGGAAAAATGCTCCCATTCTCAGAATTGGTTTCAGTTTTTCTTTTTTGCAGCTTCAATATTTGGCCTGTAAAGTTCATGGTTAGTGTTCTAGTACATGTTCACTTAAATCAACCCCGCTACGGACCGTCACAGCGAACACCTGGATCGTCTTTCCGAGGCCCATTTCATCTGCCAGCACTCCTGCACAAACACAAACTCCACGATACATACTTCCAAGATTGGGGACACCTAAAGGTAAACGTATGATTTTCCATGATTTTCCATGATTTTCCATGATTTTCCTCCTGAAAATCAACTGTGAAGTGAAATCTGAGTGATGCCAGGCTGCCATCTCCCAAGCCACTCAAGCCACTCAAGCCACTCAAGCCACTCCTCCATGCTGCCGACTCATTAGCTTTGCCATCCATGCGACTCCCTCGCGCTGATAGCCGTAGAGCCGGTCGAAGACATCGTTGGGCAAGGTGAAGGCTTTCCCCTGGTGCAAAGCTCTGGTGATCTGGTGATCATCTGGTGATCTGGTGAATCCCCAAGTCACCATGGGTTTCAATGCTATTTCAATGCTATATAAAATGATCTGACTGGGATTTTTTGGGGTACATCAAAAAGGAAACCTGCATCTTTCAGTCGCATTTTCTGAGGGTCAAAGAACCGGGATAAAGAAAAATCTTGGGCGGATGTGTTAGACTCTGAGATGGCAATGTGTCTGAAAACCCTGATTTTCAAGACCTAGAGGAAGATCATGCCCAAAAAATAATCGCATAAACCAAGCGGGGCAACACAATCTACCAATTTCACAGGTGTTCATGATCAAGTTTCACAACTTCTTCAGGGTTTCCTAACCACTTCCGTGTCCCCTCATTGTGCCAGTCATTTTTCCCTATTTGTCAGTTCAAAGTTCTACAGTATCCCCGTTTTTAGATAGTTTTCGTCATGTTCACGCGAGGTTTAGATGCTCATATCCCCAGTTTTGTCGGTTTGGTCCCAATATGTCCTCAATCCAACAACACTCATTCCCCAATATTACCAGCAATGAGGTGGTAAAAACATGTAAAAACTATCCTCAAATGACTCAAATGGTAAGTTTGTGGATTTTGTGTTCCTCCCTCGTCCTGGATACCAAATTCGCCTCCAAACCCTGTAGCTCCATGCTCTCGGGCCGTTCTTCGCTGGGGCACCAGCGGGGGTCGCTTCCGGCCTAAGGGGCCACTTAACAATAGCTTTCAATTCAATGGATATGGGAATTCATCACACCTCATAGGGGCTACAGTAGTTGGATGCAATTGGTACTGAAGAACGAAACTCGGATACTACGTTTGGCTTCAAGCCGCACAAATGGGACGCTACGAGGTTTTATACAGGGATTTAAGCCGCCAAAATGTCATCACGTGACTGACGGTTTTTGAACCACAAACGGTGGTTTAAGCAGCTAAAATGAAATATCGATATACCCGGAAAAGATTGAAACCGGTCAGAATTTCAGACTCAGCAACTCACAGCCTGGATGGTATATGATTTCAAGATTCAATTGATTCAACCACCCAGGTTTAGGCTACCGAATCTTGACCAATATCTAATCACTAATCCATCTAGTTTGCCAAGCTGTCTTTAACCTGCTCGCTCAGGGGGGGAGCATGGGTTTCAAGTCCAGGTTGATGACACAGCACTCATCAAAGGTGTCACCTGGCTTCCAATTTCTAGGCACCGCACTGGAGCGTTGCTAGGCGTGGGTGTTCCTTCCACGCGCAACGCCTCGCTTGCGAAGCAGCAAAAGTCAATTGCCAAATACCTGAAAGGTTGATCCCTCTTAAGCTGTGCTTGAAATCGGCTGTTTTCCACCTTGTAAATCAATGTAAATCCAGTGTTTTCCTTCTAGACACATAGTGATCATAAGGATATTGAAAAGGGAAGAACCATTCAAGTAGTATCCAATGGGTTTCAAAGATTGTTGGGGCCAGCGAAACTTGCACAGCTTCAGCCTGAAGCATCTGTTCTTGTTCCAGGATCATCTGCTTGGCTTCATGGGCGCCCATGTAGTCCTGACAACTTCGGAACTGTCGTCTCCAACCCCAGAAAAACCTGCAAGATTCATGCCAACAGCTGGTGGGATTGTGGAAATCCCATTTCGGAACATCCCTCATAATGGTTGGTTCATGGGGAATTCTCACCATGCATTATGATAATCCCCAATAGATTTGGTAGCTTGACCCCGTATCACGGTATCACCATCAACCAACTGGACAAATGATGGCTCTGAGCCATGCCTCCTCTTCCAACTTCTGTGTCTTTAGAGCTTGGAGCTCCGCCAAGCGGGCCTGATAAAATGTTCGAAAAAGCTCGGCCATGGTCGGGTATGGAAAGCTGAAAATGGGGCAAAATGGGGCAAAGCGCCATGAAGTCTTGCGGTTTTTTCAAAGAAAAGTTAATTGTAATTGAAGTACCCTCTGGGTCCCTCTGGCAATGTTTAGTAGGTAACTATTATCTTCAATTGTACATTTTCCGCAGCTATGTCAAAGCACCAGAGGGTACAAACAGCATGCGCGCACTAGGAGACAACCAAAACCAACCATTTCCAAATCCCCATGCAGCTGCTACACCTTGCAATCAGCCACTTTGGTCGCAACTGATCTGCGCCTGGAAATCAGGGGGTCTGAAGGACGTGGCTTTGGCAGAATTTGTGCCTCAAAAATCTTAGAAAGTAACCGTAACCAAAGGTCCAAAAATGTTTTTCCGCTCCTTCTCTAAGTTTCTTAAGCATTCTGGATCCTAAGCCCCGCGTGGCTTTTTTAAATGACCACATGAAAAAGCAGCAACGCTCCAACTGTGACCACTTCGCCTCGGGGTTGCCAGGTGGGTTGCCACAGTTGCCACAGGCACCACTCGACCTCCAGGTCGTGGCGTATCTTCATGCAAACTTTCTTTACATCGACGTTAAGACTTCACGGCTCAAGCCCCATTGCACCTTTGGTGCTTCAATCTACTTGAAGTCGATTGTACATGATTGTAAAGTACACTGTGGACTGTTACATCAAGTTGTATGTTACTAAGAAGCAGCACCGTTTGCCGCTGTAGATTGTGGGGCAGTTGACAACAGACTTCTGATCTCTGCACCAGGGCTCAGGGAAATCGGTGGTTCTCATAGCCTTCTGCCCTCCCCATATGAAGTGGCCTGCATTTGGAGACGGCTCGTCTCTCACCTAACATCAAACCAGAATATAGAATCTTGCAGTACGAAAAGAGTCATGTCCACAAACAAAAGAGAAATGTAGCCACATAATAAATATCATTAAATCATATTAAATCATGTTCCAGGCAATGGAGACGCACGCCTCCACTTCTCCAGCAGCCTTTCGGACAACGCCCAAGCCCGAACGTTCAACATGTTGCTTTCCACGGAGAAGGGCTCGCACAGAATTGATTTGCTTTTGTTGCTTTTGTCACTTTGTTTTGAACAGTAATATTTTCTATGTATATACATATAAGGATATATTCATATTACTTCGCTGTTAGAAAAACTTCAAGCTTAGCCAATGCACCAGTACGAGGTTTAGGAACAAAGCTCCTCGAGGTTTGAAAAAACGAACTTCGTGGTTAGGCAGGACTGTGCAACTGCACCGTGTCCACTAACGGGCTAGGGCGAGAAAACCTCAAAGCCTGTAGACGAGCTGGAATGTTGAGTGCAACACTGTCCATTCGTGTTAAAAACAAGTGAAATTTGGCTGTTGGCCCTGAAAACTTCTAGCTGCAGTATTTACTTTTTCCTCTATCAGAAAGTCTGGATGATTTACAAATAAAAGCAAAAGGACCTAGATAATACAGGATCCCCCGAAAAATTCCCTGATACAAGACTGACTTGTAGCTGACAGCAGAAGGCCTCTGTCTCATCTGACATGTCATCATCGCAAGGCAGTGCCTTCAACTCATGCAGGGATGGTTGGACATCATGTCCACTACTTTTGCATACTAACCAAGCCTCCTCCACATCATGCCGCACAGGCAACACCGGATTATCAGATACCTGGACTTGTTGAGCAACAAAGCGCAGTGACACCACACTCATCACCCCCCAACAATTCCAGTGATAGTGTTCCAGAACAACATCAAGAGCAAATGTGCTCCGCTGATATCAGTGTCTTGCCTCACTCTGGGCAAGGGCCTCTGGTTGCTTGCTCTCAGCCTTAAGCAGATACTATGTTTTCTGTAAGCAGGACAATTCTGCGGAGGATGTGCTTCCACAAAATCATGCAAGCACCACCTTTGGAAATTGCCAAACTAGAAAGGACCAACCGTGAATCATCCATCCACAATATTCCAGAACCACTGTCCTTGCTCCTGACATCTCCTCAGTTTCTCAATAGAAGCTTAGATAGCCACCTCTTCCACGTCGGACATGTCATCATCGCAAGGCTGTGCCTGCAGCAAGACCCATCAAGTGCACTGACACTTGAGCTCAGACAGGTGAAATTGAGCTGAAAATCTCCAGCTGCCAGCTGTCCTCTTCCTCTTCTGGCACAAGCTGTTCTGTCTCGGCCAAGGCATCATTCTCAGCGGCCTCAAAAAGCATCGTCTGCAAACTAGGAACCATACAAGCTTACAAACTCTGGTCAAGCCAACTACTGCTCCAAGCACAAAAGTTTTCAGTGTCTTGCCTCACTCTGGGCAAGGGCCTCTGGTTGCTTGCTCTCAGCCTTAAGCAGACTGATACTACGTTTTCTGTAAGCAGGACAATTCTGCGGAGGATGTGCTTCCACAAAATCATGCAAGCACCACCTTTGGAAATTGACAAACTAGAAAGGACCAACCGTGAATCATCCATCCACAATATTCCAGAACCACTGTCCTTGCTCCTGACATCTCCTCAGTTTCTCAATAGAAGCTTAGATAGCCACCTCTTCCACGTCGGACATGTCATCATCGCAAGGCTGTGCCTGCAGCAAGACCCATCAAGTGCACTGACACTTGAGCTCAGACAGGTGAAATTGAGCTGAAAATCTCCAGCTGCCAGCTGTCCTCTTCCTCTTCTGGCACAAGCTGTTCTGTCTCGGCCAAGGCATCATTCTCAGCGGCCTCAAAAAGCATCGTCTGCAAACTAGGCACTGTACAAGCTTATGAACTCTGGTCAAGCCAACTACTGCTCCAAGCACAAAAGTTTTCAGTGTCTTGCCTCACTCTGGGCAAGGGCCTCTGGTTGCTTGCTCTCAGCCTTAAGCAGACTGATACTACGTTTTCTGTAAGCAGGACAATTCTGCGGAGGATGTGCTTCCACAAAATCATGCAAGCACCACCTTTGGAAATTGCCAAACTAGAAAGGACCAACCGTGAATCATCCATCCACAATATTCCAGAACCACTGTCCTTGCTCCTGACATCTCCTCAGTTTCTCAATAGAAGCTTAGATAGCCACCTCTTCCACGTCGGACATGTCATCATCGCAAGGCTGTGCCTGCAGCAAGACCCATCAAGTGCACTGACACTTGAGCTCAGACAGGTGAAATTGAGCTGAAAATCTCCAGCTGCCAGCTGTCCTCTTCCTCTTCTGGCACAAGCTGTTCTGTCTCGGCCAAGGCATCATTCTCAGCGGCCTCAAAAAGCATCGTCTGCAAACTAGGCACTGTACAAGCTTATGAACTCTGGTCAAGCCAACTACTGCTCCAAGCACAAAAACTTTCAGTGTCTTTCCTCACTCTCGGCAAGGGCCTCTATTTCTCGTTGTTTTTTCTCCTCCTCACAAGTTGAACAAAATGTTTTTGGAGAAAGAAATTCATGGAATTGTCAAACCTTCTGCGGTGAGCTTGCTTATTCTGAACCAATTGACCAATGGCTGAGGTACACAAAGGGTGCAGCTGAACAAGCAACATCAGTGCATTCTCACTCATGTCACGCCCAGTCCATTCAGCAATAAATCCCAGGTGACCAAGGGGTTTTGATGGGTTTTGGAGGATGTCACAGCTCAGTGCAAAGTCCAAGACTTCTCCTGCGTATATGCAGCTGTCAATGCTGCCTGAAGATCTTGAAGCTGACGACCTTGACGATTCGAGCACTCGGCGCAGGGGAAATGGACTAAGAAAGACATGGGGGATATGCTCTCCTTGAGCACTCCTTGAGCACTGCTTGGTTAAGAACAGATTTCCCTTGTGATCTTCAAAAAATAAGATCGTACAAGTAAAAAAAGAGCATCAACCATCATTCATCAATGATATCCCCATACTTTTGCTGGCTAAATCCCCGTTAACTTAAGTGTAACAATCATCAATTTGATCGGCCTGTCTTGCTGGGTGCCCCGTCTCTTGGGCGTGGGAGATGCATCTTGTGAGACCTCCGAAGCTCGACGGCGATTCGGGCTGAAGATCTTCCCCAGTTGCTGAATCATGGCGTCGCCTGGCCACAGCAGCAGTTTCTCGGAAGGGCATCACAACAAGAGGTGCAAAATGATGCAAAAAATGATGCAACATGGGCCAACAAAACATGAACGAACTGAATCAACATGCTAAAGTTCACCAAATCCCTGGAGCGTAAAAATGTTAGAATCACTGTCTGGTTATGAAAAAAAAATAGTTACCACAAACCGGTGGGTCAGTTCACCCTGGTACCTTTCTGTGCACCCCCAAAATCGCTGCTATTCATATTGGTTGATACAAATTGTTCATCCCCATCCATGGTGTCCCACGAATCCATCCCTACCAGCCTCCATGAACTGTGCCGAGGGCAATGGCGGTTTGTGTGGCTGTCAACCACCGATAAACAGCTGAGGCATTTCAGCTCACCAGGCTGACTCTGCGTCTAGGCACATGGATGGTCATCTTACAACAAAATGTCCTGAAAGTGGTCAAGATGCTTTCTTTCAGAATATGATTTGTTCACTTTTGGGACTTTTGCTAAGCTAGCAAAAACGCACCCTTCCAAATTCAACCTGCAAAATGACAGGATAGTCCAAGGCAGTCTCTGAATGCATTCCATAGAAGTCCAGCATTGCTGCAAACCAAGCCATAGCCACCGGGCACCACGAAAAAACACTGATTAAAACACGAACATTAACCTTGACTTTATACGAGTCCTGCATAATCCTTAATTCATATTCACAGAGGTGAAAGAAACGACCCCAACTCCACGTTTCCACATTCCCCAAAGCCATCCATCTTTTTTGGCGCCCCAGATCTGCTGTCCAAGGTCTCCAGGGGCTTTAACGAGGACTCCTTCAGCGGTCGTACATGGAGAGGATCACTGGCAACTGCATCCGGTGGACCACCTCGCAACATCGAATTGGTCTGACAGAAGCCTGTGCTGTCACCACTTGTCATCACCATCCAACTAAGATGTTAAAACCAACCCAACGATTGGATTTGTCATCACAACGATTGTCGAACTATTTATTTTGCATGTGTGTGTATGTACATACCTGTGCAATATACATATGTAGTCACATGCATAATATTGCTATATATATATACAGTATATACTGTATAAATATATATATATATATTTTGTTGCACGTCATACATATGTAAATTATTTCATAAATATATTCTCACTATCCTTGTTTTCATCATCTTTGCCTCACCTTTGGGGGGTCGAAATCTCAGTTTTGGAGCGCGGCCTCCAGTGGCAAGGCATAGACACAATGGATCGGAGCTAAATCCGCGCGCCTGCAATGAGGACACCGGAGGACTGGAGGACCATAAAGAAGTGAACCACCGGTGACCAACATCCTGAAAACCATAGGGAAATCCTGCAAATTTTTTTGGGGAAAAAAAAATCCAGGAGTGGAATTGTGTGGTAAACCCCACCACCAGACCAGTGAGGAATCATAGCCATTCTGGTGCCCTGTATTTGATTTACCACTATCAGGAAAAAAAATCGGCTTTAAAATCAAAATTAAATGTGTCAATGTAGGATTCGTACAAAGACCCCTGAAACTCCAAATCCTTTTTTGCCACCAGCCCATGCATGCGCGGCTCAAAAAGAGCCTTAAGCGCCGGCCTGAACCGGTGGCCTTCGAGTCAAAAATCACGGAGAAGGGTGGAATGAAAGTGATTGAGTTCTTGTTTTTTTCCTCTTCCTCTTCTTCTGATCAAACTCTGATGCGAATCAGCACAACTGAGAAGATGGAAAGATACAATTTTCTGCTTCTCTGCGGTTGAACGTGTTCCTTGCTGCACTAGGCCCAGCTTGCCGTCCTCCCCAAAAAGGAGTTCTGGAAAACCGTAACAGGTAAAATAAAAGTGAGGAAAATCCCATTAAACGATAGGTTTTTCCAAAAGCCGGAACAACTTAAATCAAGGGAAGGATTCAGTCGCCGGGAAAATGGCTTGGGCAAGAGGCTAGCTTCCAGGCATTTGGGGCTGTATATTTCTGCTGGAAGCAACTGCAAGTGTCACTCCAGGCGCGAGTACCGGTATGCCTGCGATAGTCTGCCAGTAGCCTGCCAAATCTGCATGGGTCACATGGATTGTCCACCATGCTCTCAGGAGCTCACAATGGCGATTCTGGGGAAATAAAGGAAACAGCATTGCAACGAAAACACTGAAAACGAATCCACCCGCAAAACAACTAAGAAGAACCAAACAATTTCAGAAACGGAGCTCCTGAGCGATATGGCAATCAGCTTAGCTTTTTCCGTTGTTCTGTTGGGTGGCGCCTTTTGGTCCGACCCATATCGGCAAATGAAGGCGTCCATGGCTTTTCCGTTTCGCTTGGCTGACGTTAATTTTGTTCCAAATTTTCAGCAGACAGTGGCTTATTACCCAAAGGTAAACAATGGCCAAGCTCTGCTTCAATCACCCTTAACGTGGCAGTAAGAATGAAACCAGACCCCAACACACTATCCACATCCCCGGCCTTAGGGGTAGCGAGGAACTTGGAGTCTCATCCTGCCGCGAGGGAACTGCCGCTGGAGCTACAGATGTGGATGGATGTGGCAACGGTGAAATCCCTGCTGGTGGCTGCGAGCTTTGCCCTGCCGTTAGCTGGACTTGGAGCTTCTGCTGCTCACGTTCCTCCAAGCACAAGGCTAGCGGCTAGCGCCTGAGCTTGGAGCCTCCTTTCTTGCCACTGTTGAACTTCAAGAATCTGCTGCCTTGTATTCCAAGTAGCCCGGAGGCTCCTTTGCTTCAGCTGGCTTTTTTGCTAGATGGCCGCTTGTCTGGGGATCGTGAATCTGATTTGGAGCGACGTCGGCGCCGGCGACTGGACTTCCTCGAGTCATCACGGCGAACGGGGAAATGGCCGTATGGGTGTCGGCTACTGTTGTGATCTTGTCGCCGGTAGCCACGTCGCCCCCATGAGCCTTTGGCATCTCGTAGCTGCCGCAAGGCTTGCACCGGCAAACAACAACAACATGACCAACGCCATGGCTGCTGGCTTCATGGCTTGTTGCCAGCGCGCAAAAGAACTTGGACACAGGGTTTCAACCAAAATCTCAACAGAGGTTCTGTAATAGAGACAGATATTGGGTTAGAAACAAGCAAAGACCCTTACTGTGCCTTGGTCTTCCGCTCTAGATCCCTTTTTTCCCAGCACCACAAAGTCATAACGATGCCCAGGGAATGAACGCGCTAACGCTCGGAGAAGACTCAAAGGATATCCTTCTAGGAGAAGTTCCTGGAGTTCCTCCAACATGTAAACTATGATATGATCAGGTGGAAGTTCCAGCTCTCTTTATCTAGCAGTGCGACCAAGTAACATGCCCCTCAGTACTCCGAATCTGGTCTGAAGTCTGCCCAAATAAGGCACATGTTTTTCCTTAGTCTTCCCACTCAAATTCTGAATCCATGGTCTGCTTGCGTTCTTCGGAAGCCAGAGTATAGCAGCCGTCTCGGCTGTGACCCTGAAGACAATGTCGACCCATGTTTGCCCCAAAGCTTCTGCATTGATGCCGAAGGAAACTGAGCAGATGCTGTTGATTAGTTTTTCTGGACAGCCCTGACACAAGCATTTGGAAAGAAGCAAGAGGTCGTCAATGTATCTCTGTAGATTGCACCACAATGTTTCCAAGAGTTGCAAAACGCAACTGGCAGCTCATCTCCAACATCCGCCTCAATTGTTTCAAAGAGAAAACTACAAAAGTGCCCGAGCAAGTGAATTCACAAACACCTGGCCATCCTACAACCCCTTTCGTTTTTTGACTCTGATTGTTGTGCAACCATGCGTGCTTTGCAATTCTGACGCCTTGCTGTCATACGCTTGAAGCACCAATTCGGTTTTCACTTGTTCAGACACTTGCGCTGCATCGGCAACCAACATGAATGTAGGGTCCTTTTTTCCTCGGCAGTGCTGACAAACTGCGAGGTCCCCTGGCAATGTGAGCTTGCGGAGTCCTCGATGCAATTGTGGGATAACATCTCGCAAACGCCACGCCAAAAAACTTGCTCCAGTCTCCGTGATCAAAATCTTGTAGGGGACCTTGAAAAAAGAAATGACCTGTGT